AGTGACTTTGCTGATGTAAACATTACTGATGCCGCTCTAAAAACTAACTTTGTTTATTCTAATCCTGTTTTAAACTTTTTTTTTCTTTTTAAAAATAATAACTAACACGAGTATCAATAAAAACTGCATAAGCTGGACTGTATTGATTAGATGAGATAAATATGACATTATTTAGCTAAACCTGATGAGAGAACGCCCGCTCTCGCACCGCTGCAACCTCAACATAAGCCCTCCGGCGTCTTAGGGAAAACCTGCATTCATACACAGAACGTGAACATTTCACTTGTCAGATGGAGCCTGCAGATTTCCCTCATATCGCACAGGCCTAGTTGGTATGGTGGTGGGGGTGTGGGGGTAACTGGGTGTTCTGCTGTCTGTCTCTCTTTTTGGATTCTACCACTAGAAGTGACCAAAGTCAGACACAATACTTTACACAATAGAGAAGTTTCCAGCCATGATTCTTATCTCGAGTTGTAATACCTCAGAAAAGTAACAACTTCATCTTAATTAAACCACAGGTATCAATTTACACAGAGACAAAAGCAGGTCAGTCAAACATGAAACACCCTCTGTCTACATACGCACATTACTTTTGTGTACTAAGAACGTTAATGAATGAGGTCCAATGTCTCATCAGGATATTATGTCAGCTGAGTGACTATAAATATAAATGAGCAAACACTGACATGTCAAGTATGGTAAATTAATCTAGTGGCAGGCTAAAGAACAACCCTGAAGACAATCCTTCTAGTTTAATGTGTAATCCCTTCAGCCTGGGGTTAACAAAAGACAAAAATTCCTTCCAGTAAATCCCAGAAGACCTACTTTGTACTTTAATGATGTGCTTTCATCTCCTCAGACCATACAAAGCACCGGAAAAACATCCCCCATGCTGTTCAATGTGTGAGCGTGTGTGCGGGTTTGTGTGTTTGAGAGAGAAAGAGAGAGAGACAGTGTGTTTGTGTCCCAGCATGCACAGACATGGCTCTTCTTTAGAAGAAGCATATGAGTTATGAACGAGACAAAACACCCAAACCAGATTCCAAAAAACAAATGAAGGAAGTAAACACGGGAGAATGCAGCCCCCACCACCACGACTAAAAAACACTCCACTTTCCCAGAGAAGGAAACAGACTTCGAGCCTCTCTTTTCCCTGTAACAGTTTTATGAATGTGTTCAGGCCGAAAGCATGTCCTTTATATCAACAGGGCTAGCACTTTTCCCTTCCGTCATTTATTGATCTGATGAATGACCAGCTCTGAAAATACAATGCCTCTGAACACAAAGTTGACTTTCATGTCAGCACAGCATAAGGGCTGTGAACAAGGCACATATTCAAACAATAGATCCCTCATAAGACTACTGAAGCTTGATTCAGGACATTATCAGAAGGTACAAACGACAATCATGAAAATATAATCCTCCGTGGTACAAAGTCAAATAAACACATATGATCCAAGTACAGCAGCACCAGGCTTTACTCTCTTTATTGCAACATACTACTATCACACACTGGATTGCCGAGCATACATGTAGGCAGCCTCTGATCTGCAGGTACCGGAGCTGCCAGACACCAACTTGAGGAAATCAGCGCTGTTTGGTCAGCCAGCTCGACTACTCAGCCATCGGCCTTCCTTACTTTAATGAAGCCTGGCTTTACAACCACCAGACTTCTCCAATAAACTGCCTAATAAATAGCACAACAATGCGGTCTCTGCAGTGAGAGCAGTAGAGCTCATGTTGTCTGAGATCAATTCTGTTTTCAGGCAGCGGCAGCGGCAACTGATGGCCCATTTGCCCCGGCTGACACACTCCCTCTGGAGCCCAGTAGACTGCTTGTGCATCTTCACAGGGTCTTTTCTCCACTTCCTCTATATTTAGTCTATTTGAACTTAACAAAACATGTCAACCTCTCAAGAGAGGAGGATGCCAACTGAACTTCAACACATTAGCCATGCCTGAAAGTATCCAATCTGTCTAGTTAGTCAGGTTCTGAGATATGGCCGGGGACAAACAGCGACCGTGAGGCTTTGCAGTAAGGGTGGCGAAATTATCGAGACCCCTAAAAGAAATTTTTCTAGGCAACATTTCAACTGTGCAGGCACCAGTTAGTCAAGAGTATAGTGGAGCGGAGGTCTGTGAGTATCTGATGGACTGTGGCATCATATGGCTGCAAACAAGAAGAGCTGCTGCAGCACTACAGTTTGCAATAGTGTTCACAGTGGTTTTAGTAGCAACAAGTGGTAGAAATCACTGAGACCTGTTGCCAACATGGCGCTGGTTCCTATATGACCGGTGCCTACCGGACTGAAAACAACTAAGCGCAGATTTCTGTTCTTCAGTTTGGTGCCTGAGCTGTCAACTAAAATATTTGCCCTCTGGTGTTCTGAAACAGATGTTACAGACAATACAAGCGTCACGTTGCTAGTTAACATTATTACACTTGCTCTGATGGCAGCAGGTAGCCTACTGTTAGCTAGTAGCTATCATAAACACAGTTAAAATGCCTAAAGCTAAACGGTATTTCACTCGAAAGGATTCCAACACTGCAAAGTGCAAGAAATATTTAAAAACAATTGCGTGCAAATGGGAGAACACGTCAAATTTATTGAAGCATCTTGAAAGCAGAAGGATGCAGCGTATTCGACTGCTTACATGACTCCATGCCAAGCACATCAGCCGTGTCGGCAGTGTGGGTGTCCCTGGCCCTGGCAATGTAGAGACAACTGATCATGACGACAGAAGCCTTTCCTCAGGTTAACAAATGCTTGATTTATTAGCAATAAAAAAAGACATTCTCTACTATCGTATCAGCTTAGGGACCATTGAGCCACTGGTACCATTTTAAAACTATCATTGTTGCACCAGTATCGGAAAAAACCCAAATAATACTGAAACCTAAAGTGGTAAGTAATAGTACTAGTAGTCATCAAAGTAGTTGTTGCAGCAGCAGCAGATGGCTTATAGCCCTTTCAAACCAAAATTAGGTAAACCTGACAGCAGGGAGCAATGTCATCACATGCACATACATGCACAAACACCGGGGAGAAAGAGGGAACTGTTAGCTGCTGTGCTGAGTGGCAAAATGGATCCGTCACGTTTCATGTATTGGTGCTCTTACAAGTGTTGTAGCCTCCATGTGAGGCGCTTCGGTCCATGATTGTGCATTTTAAAAATCTGCCGATTGGAGTCACAGCCCATAAATACCCGTGACTACTGTCATTTGACCCGGGTGCTGAATTGAATGCTGATTGTACCCTTTCACATTGCTGACAAAAGCCTGATGTCGAAGAAGGGGCTTTAGTAGTTGAGGCAATAGTAAGCAGCAGCAGCTGTGGCAGTAGCGCTGGTAATAGAAGCACTACCACCCAAGGTATTTAGCATTAGTTATTGCCTATTTAAAAATAATGTTCAATCTATTTCCTATCCTTCACCACCCCCCACCCTCTGAAAAACAACATGTTGTAGTCTAGACTGGAGACAGAAAGATGGCCTCTTACCAGGAGAAACAGCACTGTGTCTATACAACACTGTTACACTTGACCTCCTTTCCACTGGCTGCTTGTGCAACTGGTACATATAGACAAAATGTTAATGTCAATATCTTTATCACCCGTCAGATTACTTAAAAAAAAAAAAAAAAAAGTCCAGGATGTAATGACCTTCAAGCTACAACATTAACCAAAATCTCAAACAATCCCTAGTCTCACACAACATAAACCTTAGATAAACTTTCACTCCAAGCTCTAGTTAGTTGTAACGTTGATGATATATGAATTACAGCTCATTTGATTGATGCTGAAAGACGTCACCAATGGTCAAATAAATTACCAGAATTTTAAATGTACGTTTGCACAAACACAAATAAAGAGGAAGGGTCTACATCTTATTGTGGACTCTAGAGATTTCCTGTTGACGAGAGAAATGATAAATAGCACAGAGTTCTGCTCCTCTACTTGACACCCCCTGGATCATCCTCCAACACCTACATCCATCCAACATGTCTTCCTCCAGCATATTCCACCTCCAGATTTCTTTTCCAGCGTGCCCACACTCTGCCACTCCAACAACCCACAAAGCAGGCCAGGCGTATGTGTGTATGTCAGACATATTTGCATGTCTGTAATTTGCCTGTTTATGTGTGTGCCTGCCTGTATCCCTATCTGCGCTTCAAGTGTGTTTTGATGATGTCGACCACGCGTGTGTGTACATGCATGCAATCCAGGCCAGGCCAGCGACAGTTTCATGTCACAAGACTGAAAACATCAACATGCTGAGTCTGCAGCAAGGCGCCAGTCACCAGGGAAACAATTCAGCCAGACACACACACAAAGTCAGCCAAAACACATTGTCTGAAACGCACCAGCAAAACAAGTCATCTAAAACACTGCAGTCTGAACACAAAATTAAAGGGAGACTTCACACTCATTGTGCTTGGATTGGTTTAATTAAACTCTGAAGCATTTACTGCGTTAAAAATCAGTTTGTTTAGGCAGGTGAAAACACCGTCTGATGCATCTGGGTGGCACAAAATAACTATCACAAGACACCCAGATGTGTGACATACGGCCTCTCTCTCTCTGTGTACTGTGTATGTGCAGTGCACAGGTAACCATCCTTAAGTAAGAAGATGTTGACATTTGACAGCAGTAGTTGCTGAAAATCTTGCATAGCAACAACATGGGCTGAGGCAAAATTGCAGTCTGAACTGACACCTGTTTATCTCCTTCTCTGTGTGTTCTTAACTTGGATAAACATCCGAGATATATTACAGCAAGGATCTGCAAGTCAAGCAAGTCAATCATGCATAACAACCAGCTTCCTTGCAGTTCAAACAAAACAACTAAAGTGACAGGTTGCAGGCCGTAACTATGGGCACTGGGCCATTCATTACACTCCCAAATTCATATCTATACAAATCAGGCCAACGGTTAGACTGTCTGCACAGCTCATTTGCACTCAAATCCCTCATGAGCTATCATGTGTGACAGTCTGCTTACCTCTCTGACAGTGATTGGAATTCCAGCAGCGGTAGTTGTAGTTGTTGTTGAACATGGTCTTTCTGCACTGAGGGTTGTTCTCCATGATGCCTGGACAAACATCGCTGCACTCCTTGGACTGCTTGTTCCCTGCAATGTAGTTGTTGAACTCCGCATCCATGATGAGGGACCAGTCTATGGAGTCCAGGTAGCAGAGCTCAGGGTTCTTCTCAATTCGGATGGAGCCGCGTGTGATGTTCCTCAGGTTGTACAGGCCGATGTCCTTCAGGCTGGTCATCTCAAAGATTACCAGGGCGTAGTTGTAGAAGAGGTTTCGTCCGCGGATGACAGCGAGGTTGGGAAAGAGCGTGCTCAGACTGTCCAGGCCGGACACCCGGAATAGCAGCAGGTAGTCAGTGATCATGGTTAACTTGGGAAAGGTGAGGGAGCGGAAGACTTCCTGGTTGACGTTATTGTTGTTTTTGTCACCGATGAGGAGGATCTGTAAGTAGCCCTCCACCACTGTGCAGTTCTCTAAACGCCTGAATTCACTGATGTCGTTGCCAATGTCGATGCTGGGACCGCAGACTGCAGGACGAAACAAAAGGAGAGAGTGAGATGACTGTGTAATGCCTTATATTCAACAGTAACATACAGTACATTCAGAGAGGGTTCAAACATTTTGTTATGTAATAGCCTTATGCTAAAAATTAAAAAAATCTTTTTTTCCATCATCAATATACACTCAATGCCCCATAATAACAAAGCGAAAAAAGAATTTTAGAATTTTTTGCAAATTTATTCAAAAGCAAAAAGTGAAATATCACATTGCCCCTTGTTATGACACTTGAAATTTAGCTCAGGTGCCTCATATTAAGTGATTAAGTAATTAAGTACTCCTTATTGCATGCTCTCCACAGTAATCATAACACTTTCATCATCATAACAGGATAAATAAAATAGCCCTGCTTGTTTTTTTTAAGCTATGCAGAAAAACAATTACATGAGAACATTCTTAAAAGTGATCTGGATATTTCATAATTTACTGACTCACTCTTTGCAATAAATAGCTGTTAAATGAAAGAATATACAAAACGATGTTCTCCATTCCTGAAATAGTGATATTTACAAAGAGATGTTTATCCAATACACTTTTTAATATTGACAGTACACTTGAGCTGTGCTGTTGTTGACAGAACATGTTTGCCTTGCTGTTCTCATTTTCAATGCCAACTTAACATGGTGTGACAAAGTAAATTCAAGCTTAGGTTAACAGTGCAATAAAGTTTGGATTGCTCTGCTTTCAGGTTATTGTTGCTTTTGTGTCTACCTAACATGACCCCAATTTTTTGTTTCACAGTCTGCTTTTATGAAGCTTTCAGAATACAATGACATTAAAGGCCTGTAAACTCTTCTGCTAGAAAAGGTATCATCCATAAAACATGTACACACTGTCAGATGATTAAATACAGTATTTGTGATAAAACAGCTTGTTAAACAAAGGGCAAAAAGAATCATGGGGGAGTTTCACAAGTGCTATGGCAACATCATTCTTCATGAAACAAGAGTCTGCAGCCACGGTGGGAGCGCTGTGAGGCACAGTGATGCTTTGTGCTAAATGCTAATGTTAGCATAATATTAGCATTTAGCAGAAAGCATCACACAAAATAACAATGCTAACATGTTTATAATGTTTACAATGTTTTACATTCACTATCTTATTTTAGCATGCTAACTGGCACTAAACCCAAAGCACAGCTGAGACTGGCAGAAATGTGATTAGTTTTTACAAGTTTTTAGTACAACTTGACTGATCTTACGATAAGAGTTTGTTGAAAAGTTAAGAAATCACCAGTTATTACAATTCATCCATGAATCTCTGAACTTAATTTCGTGACAATCCATCCAAAAGTTGATGAGAAATTTCACTCAAAACCACACGTCAATGTAATGTTGGTGCTAGTAGAAAAGTCAGGGAATGACCAAAGTGAATAGAATGCATGCTCTAAACATAAACCCTTATGAATGCCATGGCAATCTATCTAATAGTTGTTTCGATATTTCAGTCTAGACCAGTGACGTGGACCAACCGACAGACACTGACCCTGCCATCCCCAGAGCTACGCTGCTGACGTGCGTAAAAAACAACAGTTGAGCGTGAATTGTAGCGCCCCCAACAGGGAAAGTCTTAACCTGTAGCAGTCTTTGTATACATTGTGATCTAGTGAATTGAATCTACTGCAGAAGTGAAATGTCTGGGCTTTTGATCAAAGAACAGACATCAAAGAACAGTTGCCCTTTGATGTGAACAAATTGTAAAAACATGTATTTATGCTCTTTTATGTTTGTTGTAAAATAGATTTGTTCACATTTGTTTTGTTTTTAACTTCTTTAGTAGTGCTTTGATATTTACTGAGACAGTCAGTAAAGTGTGATTCTATTTCGACAGAGAAATGCACTAAACCAAAACAACTACAAAAGAAAAGCATGGAAAAAAGGACCCTGCTCTGGATTCTGTGTGGCCTTTGAATAATCCTAACCCACATCAGGAAAAGTTTGGTAAGGCATGATGGTGATGATCGGTGTTGATAGGTGTAGTGTTTGCCTTTCCAGCTTTTACTCCCACCTGTGTGCTGTGCTCTAAACAATACTTAGCCTGAAGCCCCAGCAGCACCCACAGAAACATGGAGGCCATTATCGCACATCACTGTGAGGAGGATTTACACTTCAAAGGCTGCAGGGCAGTGAGTCATGGAAAACTCACACCAACCAGCTAACAGGTTGTCACACTACCACTTTAATGCTGGTCTGTAAAGTTTTACTGTATGAATATGACGCCAAGAGGTTTAGGAAAGATAATGCATTCTCAGCAAACAATACATTGTTTTCTTCATTACAACATTTTACAATTAAACATGGGGGCTGGCATAGCAGGTTTAATGAGTATAAATGTCAGTTTTTTATTAAGGGATTGCCCTATGAGTAAAACTTGGAGTTAGAGCAATGTGCTGCTGGCTATACATATTCCCACACATGTCCATGTGTTGTACACATGACTGTATAATTTTAAAAGTAGGTAAAAAGCAGTAGTGTATATGTATCAAATTTGTTTTGTTTTCAAGTTCCTCACCATTTTCTAACTAATTACAAAGAGGTGATTTAGTACGCTTTATCCATTATTACCACAGTTTTGAGGACAAATGAAAGCCTGCTCTACAAACTGATGTTGAATGTGAACATGTAAACATTACACTGAGGTAGAACCCAGTTTAATTTCCCAAAGAACACCATGAACCTTTCTGCTGGCAATGAAAATTGCCCGCCACAACTTGCAGCCTAGCACAACATGACACATCACAAACCTGGGAAAGGTCTATAACTTATCAACTTCACATAAATATCACCACTTTATATTCTCAGATTTTAGCTTTAACAATGAAATCCTTCACTGCAGGATCAGGAAAATTTTAAAAATAATTATGAGTTTTGTTCTAGGCAAAAATGGTCCATAAAGCTATATTTTTTTTACCCTCAAATAAGAAAGGCCAGTAATTGTGACCAGTGTTCATGAACATGATACCTAAGTAATCAGGATCTTTTAGTCATGCAGCTCAATGGCTGTAAACATATCCACTGGACAGCCGCACTGGAGTCATGCACGCACAGACAGAAAAGCTACTATGATTGCATGACACTAACCCAAATACAAGCTGCAGGCAAGTGATAAATCAAATTAAAACACATGTGAGAGTAGAATCTCTTAAGGACTGATCGGTCGCTACAAACTTTCAGAAACTTTGTCCTTTCCCTTTTGGGCAATGAAAGAAAATGTTTAGCTGAAAATGTTCAGCTGAAATACATTTACTTTTACAAATCACGTGTTTCTGTACAGGTGACCAACTCTCTACCATGACTCCAGGAGAGATGCCTTAAAACTAAGCTCAGCTGTGGCTGAAGTTCACTCCAACATAGTCAAGTCCAAACCAGCATCTACTGTATGAAAGGGGTATTAAATATTCCTGGTGTCACAGCAGACCTAAATGCAGCCCAGAGAAAGAGAAGCACTGTCATTCGTTGTCTTTGATCTTTAGGACAATAAATCTTATTTTACATCTTGGTTTTAAAACTGCATACAGAGCATGAAGCAACAAGTGTAGGCAACTACAGGGCAGGCCAGACATGTCATCGCCAGGGAAGACAGCAATAAAAATATAGATAGTTCATACACTGTTAATCTCAAGTGGATGTAAATTCTCACATGGAAAAGCTCCTTACATTCTACTTTACATTTCAGACCTAATGTGACCTGGAAAATGAAAACCAGCAGTGGTATTACATAGTAAAAAGAGGAAAGAAAAAGGGGCATCCCTACACTATATTACACATATTATCCAATCCTATGCCACTTCACACTTCTCCAACTGGTACAGCCATTGAGTATTTTCAAGAACATGTAGAAATACCTACTAAAAGCATCACCAGACACTAAGAAAAAAGGGCAGATAGTGATACATCATAACCACAAATGAAAGTTGGGACCATTTGTGAAAACTAAGTTAGTAAACTGGCTAAAACAAGTTTTAAACAGTCCTATATTTCCCCTATATTTTCCCCCAAAACTCTACAGACAACCAGTATATCCAATGTCAAAACTTTCCCAAAGTTGACATCTTTTCCCCCTGCTTGCATACAGCATACAGGAGCTTTGGCTAGTTGCTTGTAGTGTACCAGTGTCCAGCTAAAATGTGTTGAAATGTGAACTGGGTATAATTTGCTTCTCACATTGAAAAGAGTTCACAGCTACATTTTTAAATGATTAGACATGTTAGAGTGTTTAAATCTTCTCTCGACAGGACATGAGAGCTGCTGGTGTGATTTAAGGCAGGCAGTGCACTGGTATGGCGGTTATGTCTTTCTCTGTAATCTACTTGTCAGTGCACACTGTCAGCGGCCCTCAGCAAGCTGCATACCTGTTAATTCAATCCCAACACCCGGGCCTGTACAAAGACATACTGCCTAGTGGTGTTACATCACAACAGTCTCGACGCTTCACCCTCTGTGGCCTCACTGCAATGCCAGTATGGCCATATTTCATGGGAACTGCTCCTGACCATGCTCGTGAAAATCCTAAACAAAAGTTTCTGATCAAATTTTGCATCTTGTGCATCAGCTATATGAAAATACCGATAGCAGGTGTAGCAGCTTAATAACTCCCCCTCCCTTTCCTCCCACAATGACACATTTTAAAACAGCTGAGTACACAAGCCTATCTCTGCAGCTTTGATGAGGCTCCCAATCACATATTTACGTTTGATAACCTTTTTCCCAGCTGGCTGCAGCAGGGAAACTCTCCACAGCCAATCACAGGAAATCCAATAGAAGCCCAATACAACAAGAAATAGGAAGCAATACGCCCTCTAAGTTGGTGTTTCATTCACTGCCACTAGACTGCAGCAACTGTGTTTACTCCTCATTTACATCCTGTTAGTGACAAACTGCCTGAGGGGGAACGTATTCATAAATTCTTTTCCACATGAAAGGCAAGGTGAGAAGAAATGCACCAGGAAGCATTAGCAAAAGATCATTCTTGACAGACAAAACTTGTTCATCTGAAAAGCTGTGTCTGCAGCAGCAGGACCTTAACCAAGATCTGCCAGCTGCCCTTTAGTCCAACTGATACAGTAAACCAGCAGGAATGCTCAGAGTTTAGCCACACAAGGAACCTTTAGACAGCTCCACATAGGAGTGAGAATAAATGTAGGATTTTGATGGGAGCACCTCTCTGCTTTTCCCAGGTTTGTCCTGTAACCACTGGGGCTAACAGTAAACCCCATAACACACAGTTCACAAGCTCCTCACTCTTTCCAATCAACAGAACTTAGTCTGTTTTGCTTGTGAATGTACTTTGGCTTGGTCTATTTTAAAACCCAGACCCTGGTTCAACCCCCTGACCCACCCCTCCCCAACATGTCATGATGAATGGGATGAATCGGGAAGCCTGGTTTACAGTATATCTGGAAACATGGAAAAATTTCAGTTGTGAAGACATAAATATAGAAGCTTTAAATTTGTTACATTTTAAGGTTTTCAAGCTAACAGAAGCTGTGAGTCTAAATATGCCGTCACAGTTAGTCACTACACAGTCCTAAGTCATCTGTGTGGTATCAATTGATTCTGTCAAAGTTTCAAACCAGTATAGTTTACTTCAGTGGATTATCATTGGACTACAGTCTATATGTTTTTGCTATTTTTTGCCTGATGGGACAATGTTGCTGTGCCTGCTCAACACAACTGCAGCAGTCTGGTATTCATGAAAATATTTCCAAGGTCAAGGTATCTCCAGGTTTGTTCAGCAAAGGAGAATAAATGACAAGTGTACTCAGGAAAAAGCATAGTCATAGAACAAACAGTGTTCCTGTATGTGGTTTCAGTAAATCTTCTGGGAGTGATATTAAAATGGACAGCCTTTTGTAAAAAAAAAAAAAACACCTACACGCAAAAGTTGTGTTTCTCCAGTCAGGTTACGTCTACATTATCTCATCAGAAAACCTCAGTAAGCTAATGAAATATGAGGCCATATAAGAGGCCAAGTTCTTCCATAGCACAGAACTGAGTCTAAACCCTTAACTTCTTACTGTATGCTGCCCCTCTCAGATCCCAAATGGACTGGGGAGGACTCTAAAGCCATGCATTAACACTGGGCTTCCCCATCCTCCTCTAACAAGTTCTGAAACACATCAATGAAAAAATATATGTAGTTTGCCTGCCTGTGTGAGCTTATTTATTATTTGTTGTCATTTTTTATCTAGTGTATAAACAGCTGACTTTGCCAAGGTTGTTGGTACAAACAGGTCCAGCGACAACAGACTTATGCTTGCCCACATTTTGCAGAACTTTTCAATCTGAAAATAATTTATCACATTTTTGCAGCACAGGAAGGACAAGCCTGGCTAAACTCAATTACCCACTTTTTTTTATTTCTCAAATCATATTTTTGTCTTTTTTTTTTTTTTTTTATTAACAGATACCTTCCATTTCTTGTTGATTCTGATTCACCACATTATGACTCAGAGCTGACAGTGTGGTGTATATACTCTACAGCTTGACTGACTTTCTCCACTGGCTGAGTCATGGTAAAGTTATTTACCAACACACTTAAACTGACTTATTTTGTGGTGTGTTTGAAAAAAACAAATTACAACATTACAACTAGACTTTGCTAGTACACACAGCATTCACCAAAACCAAATTACCTACACTTATTTGCACAACTTAAACAATAAAATTAAATGATTTTACCCACTAAACGAAATTCTATTTTCTCCATACATATATAGTACTATATTGTGAGATGCTTAATGTAAATTCAAATCTTCTCCTCCTATAACCTCATAACTACACCGTGACATACAAGATTTATTCTTGTCCATTTCCAATTCACTAATCTTTCTGAATATTTTCGCCATAAATGCACAAAAGTGATGTGTAAATTACTAAGAAAATACTGATGTCTCTATTTTCATATTAGGTGTATAATATAACGTATGCTGTAAGACAAGGTGTTTTCATCGTAACTTTATTCAACGTATGTGAAGAGTGCTGGAGCATGGCGCATGAAAAAAAACAATGTTTCCCCGTGTGTAGTAGTGAGGAGTAGCATTACTTACTCTCTGCGGTGGCGGGCCGGAGGCAGGACGACAGACCCAGCATCAGACCCCAAAACAAGGTCAAGCGGTTCCTTTCCGTTCGAGACCTCATTCCTGGATGAGTAAATCCTCCCAAACCATGTAAATAAATATGTTGACGGGAAAAAAACGTCGGCACAACGTGGTCAATATTCTTAAAACGCTTTTTAAATCTTCAGCCAGCACCTTTTAGCTGTTAGCCGGCTAAATGAGCTAATAGCTAACGTTACTACAAACAGGCTAGCAGGATAGCTCTCACGTTTGCTAATGGGAGTCCAGTCGTGCTCCAAAATCACCGATTTATTTCGCTGGCAAGAAAATGTGTATTCATAGTTCTTTTTATTACTGCCGAAAACAACACCGCATTGATGTGTATAATGAAACCAATGCGGCTAAACCAGCGGTGGGGATTCCTCTGCAATCCGCATCTTCACACTCCATATCTGGAGGAAAAAACGTTCAACGTCCCGCTGCTGGAGGATCCTCAGGAGGCAGAAAACGGGTCAGACCCCCTTAAAATCGGGATGGAAAGAGGCGGTCTGGGGAATATAATAACATATCAAATTGATACACTGCCGCCCTGTGTGAACGACGACGTTTGTTTCGAAATATCCAGGATAAAATCTGGTTTCAGACCGCAGCCTCCTTCTCCTCCTCCTCCTCCTCCTCCTCAGCCGCTCATCATGGACACACGCACCGCGTTGTTGTGGTAGCTATAATTCACCTTCAAATCAACGGAAAATTGAGTATTTGACCTTGTTGCTCTCAGTCAGTCAAGTCCTTTGGTTATCTAATGCCCTCCGTCGATAGATAGCTGAACAGGTCGCGTAGCTAGACAGATTAATGTACAGGTACATACACAGTCTCTTTCGGTCAGTCTGCAGTCTGCCGTGTTCGCTGTAAACACGGCGCCGTGCGCAGAGATCGTCTCTGTTTCTAAAGATGAATCACTCGAACTTCTGCCCCGCCTTCCAGTCTGTGAAAGTGGGCGTCGCTCCTACTGCAGTTTAGCCACCATTGTAGAGCAGTTACCATAGTTACCATTCTGGTACTCATCACAAGAAGTCCAGTTTTATCTGTGTATGTTTACAGTGTCTTGGTCCGAACAAACCGTAAATAATATTTGCATCAGGACTCCATATCTCATCACTCTATCATTATTATTTGCAACAGAGGACAATATTACTACGCCATATTTCCTCCAACACTCACAGTAGACACACCAGAAGCAATTATGAGGTGGACCGTCACTCATTAAATAGAAGCACATAAACAAACACTCTCCAAATTGACGAAATCATTCATTTGCCGCCCTGTTCATGGAAGTGCACATCATCCGATGGATCAGAAATGCAGTCAGAGTGAGACCTCGTGCTTACTTCTCCTCTCTGGTCACCGCCGTAGCGACTCCGTTTACGACGCGGTGTGATGGAAATCCGGGATACTGATCCAGGATCAGGGTTGTTTTGCTTTTCACAAATACTCAGCGGAGGGCTTCCTATGCTAAGATCGTGCCTGTCTGCACCACCTGTAATTAAACTCTTAATCAATCTATGCCAGCACAGAGGTATCTTTAGTTTATTGTGTTATAGGCTTGTCATTCATAGATGTACAAATACCACTCGCATCTCATATGTTAATGCCCATATTAATGAAACCAAATGTCTATGTTATGTCTGTCTTACTGTTAACTAGACATAAACAATATGTGACCATAGTTATAATATGATATGCGGCTGTTTAATTGTTCTTAATGTAGGTAGAATTCCTATTATATTTCAACTGACTTATAAAATCACATATAGACGCGTATGTATGGGAATTTTTCCATAATAAACATTTAACATTTTGGAAAATTAGCCCCTCAAATTCATCTCATCACGTAAAGACACCGAAATGCTGCCATCTTGAGGGGGGAGAAACCAACTGCAGTCTTCTAATCTGCAGTAAAATAAAAGTGTGGGGGGGTAGAATTTATACTGATTTGCTCAAGAAAGTATGAATATATAAATTTTATTCCTTCCATTTTGTTCCTTCCATAGTCATGGGTTAAAATTTTATTTTCTTGGCATATGCAGTCCTGCTGTATCCTTGTGAAGTGAATATATAGGGGCCATGCCTATCATATGTGGGGATTTAAAACAACTCATTAAAAGTCCGTGTGACTTTAACTTTGAAACACAGACAGGTACAGTTGCAATGATCTTTTGAGGTCTGAGGCCCAGGCTGAGGAAGGGGAGGGCCAGCAGCTTGTGATGCTGTGAGAGAAGCAGACAGTAAACAAAACCGTCCATAGAAGAGTCCCTGACAGTTTTGATTATCCCTGTAATTGCAGGCCGCTTTCATCACTTCACAGAGCAGAGCACAGAGGCATTATTTGAACGCCACACATTACCTCAGCTCTGGCAGACAGCACTCGGCATCCGTCACAATCCAACAATTAGCACTGAGAGAAAAAGAAATGCACATTAAAAATGAAGTGAATATCAGTGGCCACCCAAGAGTCCAAATACAGTGAGTCACCCTCTAACAAGTGCTCACTGTACCAACATGACCCCCCTGTGCCAGAGAATGTTGTGCCTGTCCACTTGCATTTGTTAAGTGCCTATTAAAGTCCCTATGAAGGCAGCCGGTGGGCCCACCTACCTCGACTGTCCCGGTGGAATCCATTCTCGCACTGCACTCATGTGGAAATAAGCCTGTTTACCACCAACGGGTCACACATGCTAATGAGCGTCTGTTTGTTTTCCACTGTGCTCATGCAGGAGGAAGGGAATTTAGGGGGGAAATAATAGATGATATGCAGACAACAGACCGGTGGCTTTGCAGCACTAATGATGACAACATACAACAGAGAATTAATGGATATGAAATCAGAACAGGAAATGTGCTCTGACATTTTGATGTTGCTGAAGCTGATCACACAGAAATACAGAATGTTGTCTGGCCTGATTTGAAAGTGGTGTAGTTGTGGGTCAAGGATCCCCAGACAGAGTGACATTAGACCCCAGACCCCCAATTGATTTGTCTGATGAACCTCCAGCATACAGTATATACTCCCAACATTCTACAAATTCATCATAAAAACATAGTAAATGTTAAATTTTCTCATAGGATAAATTATAATTAACTTTTATTTCTCCAGCTACAACCGTCACAACTCCACAAGGTGAAGAAAAGCCTTGAAAAGACAATGTGTGCAAGGAGACTGAAGTATCCCATAAAAAACTGCAACTTATTGTTTTGATAAGTGCTTTTGTCATGCTGTATAATATGGCAAGAAAAAGTAAGTGAACCCTTTGGAATTACCTGCATTTATATAAATTTGTTTTAAATATGGTCAGATCTTCATGTATGAACGAACACAATCTATTTTAAGGAATAAGACACAAATCATTGTGCTGTTTTTGTCCATATTGAAAACATCAATTCAAACATTCCCAGTGTAGGTAGGAAAAAGTGCGATCTCCTCGGCTAATGAGTCAGTAGTTTCGTGGAATCGAAAGGAAACAAGATTGGACAAGTGAGTTAGAGACACATTCATTTTGAGTTTGCTATTCACAAGAAGCATCTGCGGATGTGAGTCATGCCTTGCAAAAAAGAAATCTCAGCAAACTGATGATCAAGAATTGCTGATTTGCATAAAGCTGGAAAGAGTTACAAAGCCATATCAAAGAGTTGAACCCCCAAAAGAGTCCCTTCTGTCAGCCAGTCCTGAGACTTACTGATCAAATAACACCCAGTACTGTTCAACATCAGGCCAGCACGACTTTCCAACCACTAATCAGACTCAACCAAATTATTAAATTAACAAAAGATGGCTATATGGAAAATTGGACGAATCAAACCTAAGCTCAAAAAACAAAATTGCAACTCAATTGCTATCTGGCCCTAAACCATCAACCTGGCCCTAAACCATAAACTGGCGAAATATCTCATCACTTTCAGAGATACAAAGCAGAGACAGATCCTGACCAAATATAGACACAGTGACCAGTGACCACAGAGAAAGGAGGCCACAAGAAGTCCCAGCTACCAACAGAGGAAAGAACCTGAGGTCACTGCACACCAGGTGAGGTAGAGACAGAGATGCACTTCCTCTTAAAATGTAACAAATATAATATTATCAAAATGGAATACTTAGTTAAATTTGGTTAGTTATTACCAAACGACACAGAGCTTGATGACAACTAAAGATTCTATAGGAGAGGGACATGTGGCAAACTTAGCTGCACAAATTGAGGGACACATAATGTAAACATCATCACTGAATGTGACAAATAATCATCTTGACATAGACTATTTACACACACACACACACACACACACACACACACACACACACACACACACACACACACACTAAACTACTGGTGTTGTGGACTGATGAAACTGAGATTGAATTTTGTGTAGGAAGAACATGCAGTACTGTGTATGGTGTAAAAAGGACACTGCATACAAACATAAAAGACATCATCCCAATGGGTTGCATGCTTTGCTGCCCCAAGCAGGAGGCCACGATGCTTCCCTTAGTCTCGCCAGTTCTGCTGGCACTGGCTCTAGCTCCCTCATGAACCCCATGACCCTCATTATGTATGAAGGATTAATACACTCATATATATCATACCTTTATCAGTTAAATTATAAATAATATTTCAACCCAACCATTTCTGAGGTTTTAGTTTGTAATGTGGTTTGAGTGACAACATCATATTACAAAAAAAAAAAAAAACGTACAGTTTTTTCAAGGCAGCGTGAAGCAGCTGACAAAAGTACAAAAGGTCTGGTAATGCTGGTGCACTAGTCACATTATGTAATGTGACGTTGAAAAAGTCTCAGAACTTGTGACGATACATAGCAAACAGAAAAGAGAAACAGTGTAAACCCTCACTAGTGTTGACTGAGGATACTTCATGGGATACTACACAGAGCCTCAAAAACAATTTCAACAAAAACTGACTACTAGCTTGCAATATTACAGAGCTCCTGTATTATAGTTTAAGGTGTCTATAGACTCAAACGCGTCAGTGTCTTTTGATGTACAAATAGCAATTCTACTAATGCTAATGGGGAACAGAGAAACAATACAAAGTTCATATACTGTGTTCCATGACGCAATTTTGGGTGAATTTAAGCGAAAACATGTGCTGTATATTGAGTTCGGACGTGAATATGCATTAGCATGTATAAAATATGTATAAAATACACATTTCACCCCACATAGACTACAAGAGAGATATTTGAATAAAGAAAACAGGAGTCGAGTTATAATAACTTGTCCGGAACAAATGATTTGGTGTGTTTGTTTGAGGCCGACAACTGAATATGGAGACGCAACCGGATGTAACCAATTAAGTCATCCGGGCAGCTGAGAGGCCGTTTAGCACTCTAGCTAACGTCATTTAAATAGTCAAAATCTTAATATTTTATCAATAATTTCATATTGTGATTTTATAACGCCTAAGAATAACAATGATTAAAGCCATCTTGATATTTAACAACCATGGAAAACCGCGGCTGATCAGATTCTATCAATATTTTGTAAGTATCTTTGGGGTTGCTGTTCAAAACATTAGCATTTTTGTATTATGCAGCTATCTACACTCTGATCTGGCAAGCGGTTAGTAGTGGCTTACTTTTGTCAGCTTGTACTGACAAATATAACCAAAATCTTGATCGATGTGTGTCGTTGATCACCAAGATACAACTTCCTAAAAACGTCAGCTGATGCTAGCTAGCAGCGGTGAAGGGGAGCAAACTCAGACCTTAGCTAGACACCTTTTCAGCTTCAGTTCCCTCTTGTTCAAGCCAAAATATATGTTTATAACACATTTTAGTTACCTCCCTAAGCAGTATTAAACAGGTGTAATATATTCGTAGATATGTTTTCACGAAGGCAAATCGCGTACATTTTACGCTCCGTACAAATCTGCCTTTTTTGTAGTTAGCTTGTAATCACTGATTTTGGATCATTATCTTTTTAGCATGCAACTGTAAGGTAATACCATGTGCTTTAATAAAGAACAGTGTTTCGAGTGTGAACATCAGGACTCATTAACAATAACTCCTCTCTATAGACGTTTTGATACCATTTACTTCTTCCCCATACCAATGTAATTTGACTGTCAGTCATAAAAAAATAAACTTAAAATATATAACACTTCCTACACTAGTAGTCCTAACACTAGTACCACCTCTCCACATCAAAGCCTTGCCTACTGTACACGTTGCCTTTTTACTGGTGGGAATTTCCGGTGTAACATATTGCCAAATTGCTACAAATTGGTAATGGCTGTTCTACTTTGCTGCTCTGAAACAGTAGTTGCCAGTGGCTGCACAGTGCACATTCCTATGTAAGCTACTGTTGTAGAGCAGCAGAGACGATTTCCAGGAAAATTGCAGTTTTATCCAGATGTGAAACTATAAAATTTATTAATAAATTACATGGTATTCGATCGGTGAATACACTATGTACTCGCCAATACCCAATACATTATTTCAGGCTGTATCTGAGGTATTTCTGATACTAGTAACAGTTTCGGAACAACTCTACTCCTCTCCTCATGTATTCTGTCGTGCCACAGGGTCCTTGTGCAACTTGTACGGCCAACTAGATAGGCATGCCTGTAGGTGGATGTACTGACCAGCACTTTGTAGAATTTATGACATGTTTTCCTGCAGGCTGAGGACATGCAGCAGCAGATCATTCGGGAGACTTTCCATTTGGTGTCTAAGAGAGACGACAATGTCTGCAACTTCTTGGAGGGTGGAAGGCAAGTGGTATTGTTTACGGGGGGTTAATGTATGAAAATCACATTTTGACACGTGAAGAACAGAGCAGATATTTGTACCTATTGTATGTATAAAGACCCTCAGATACATTTTTTAGTGTTGAGCGATGCACTGCTGAAGAAAAGCTGACGCAACTGAGCTTGGCTTCTTTATGTTGTGATTTAAATATAAGATAATGTGCATTTGGAGACTTTTAAGTTTATATTGGCAGAGATTGAAAGGCAGACCTGTAATTAAATTATGATTTGTTCTGATGTTTTGGCAAAACTTTAAAGACTAACTACTGTAAACTCAGAGCCACTTTTTGGGTTTTCTCCACTGACTTTGATGTCACTACCGAAACTGACTTAACTTGGCAGCATAAATGAGCCAGGAATTGACTGCAGATGCAGTAGCCCATTTTTAACCATTAGATGGAGGCAAACGCACACAAGTTATCACATATTTCATTCCTCTGAGAAACTCTTTTACACATACCCAACTGTTAATTTTTTAATAGAATACATTTATTTGTTTGACTGAGAAGGGCTGTTATTTTTGAGGTCCCTATCAGATGCAGAATTTTCTTTGAACATAACATTTTCATGTTTTCAGTCTCATTGGTGGCTCCGATTACAAGCTGATCTACCGGCACTATGCAACCCTCTACTTTGTCTTCTGTGTGGACTCATCTGAGAGCGAGCTTGGCATCCTGGACCTGATCCAGGTCAGTTTCTAATTCATTTTATTGTTTTATAAACATAATTAATATGTAATTTTTGAAGTAAAATCACATCTCCCTTTTTCCACATCACCCTCTCTTTGCTCATAAAATAACCCAACATTAGAAAAGAAAGACACTGTCTTTCCCTTGAACTATTGAACAAGCAGCATGATGCTGTATTTGTATAATTTTGGGAAACAGAAATCATAGACCTGTTTACCTCCATACATGTAATGCTACTGTTCATCCCAGTCAAAATCTCTCTGCATAACACAGTTATGCAGGAACAGAATGTAAATAGAGAAACCCATCAGACACAGACTGTAACTCTAACAGCACTAAAGTTATCAAATGAAATTCTGACACATCATTTTATTTTTATCAGAGCAGAAATCTGGCTTCACAGCTTTATTGTCCCTGTGAGAACATTTAGATGTTGTAACTTTTGGCAGCACATAAATGACACGAGTCAACCACACAGGAAGTTAAACAAGATCAGTATTTGGCTCAGAAGTAAGTGAGTCAACCAGCTCACCCCCCTACTGAATATTGGCATCACAGTTAACAGCACAATAAAGATCATGATCAAATGATCAATAAAGATGAATTATAGCATGTGGAATGAAATACGCAAAAGAACCCTCTGAACGGTTAAGATTTGAATGTACTACTGGCAACAACTTTTCATATCTTTGTCTTTTTTAAATATCTCCTCCACCTTCTATTGATCAATGCACTCAGCTTACATTTTTTAATGAAGCACATTAACCTGTATTAAGCCCGAATGTTTGTATTGATCCACCTACAAGGCCTCAACCTTATTATTGGCATCAGTCCAGGCATTAAATCTAAAATCACCCACCACTGACTTCCTGTGTTAATACAACGTAATACAAATCCCTGAGGAGATCCAACGCTTGTTGTGCCTTCAAATGTAATAACCATCTCAAACAATCTCCCAGGTTCACTCCTCTCTACATGTGGGTGTTTGTTTTATAAATGAGATGTTCGACTGAGCAAATCCTCTTTGTTTGTAGGTGTTTGTGGAAACGCTGGATAAATGCTTTGAAAATGTCTGTGAGCTGGACCTCATATTCCACATGGACAAGGTGAGTGGGGCCTTTTCTGTTGGCTTTTTGCTGTTGTGTACGTTGTACCCACGAATCACTCCGGGCTCGGGATGAACATGTTTAAAGAAAGAGGGTGGTTTTATTCTGAAGGAGTAAAAGAAACAAACAATAAATTGGTTGGTCTTCAGAGGCTTTACCGATTTTCAGGGTATAACTTCCAACTCATCTGACTCAGAACAAATGTATCAAAAATAAAAAAAACTCTAAATAACTCAATTTAAAATGATTAAACTATAAGAATAAAAAAAAAAATCACAAAATTAGTTTACTTAACAAAGTATGAGGAATTATTGCCTAATCTAATATATCCAAAAGTATCAAAACTCATTCTCTGTTGTACAATTCATATAACTATAATATTTTTATGGAAAACAATAAATTAACCCAAAGATTCCAATTTGAGTATTACAAATTAAAATAATTCTTTAGTCTAGTCTAGTGATAACTGCCAACAATAGTCCTTAAACTCACAATTCAGCATATTCATGCTCAACCAACCAAAAATCAACCAGCACCTCGAACCATCACAGTCCCCACACTCCTGGTTAACGTGTTGTCACCGGTTAGATCACACAGATTAGTAAAATAACACCTGAAATCATTAAGGGAGCTTGGCGTTAGTGATGGTTCCAAAAATATGCCGTTACTTAATGTCCTCAAACAATATACAGTAACAAAGCACAATACAACATAAACAAATCAACTATAAAGGGTACACTATTAATAAAGTATGAAGGTACTTAGGCGACATCTACCCACTTGAAGGAATAAAAGAACCAAACAATGATTTTCAGGATGTAATTGCCAACTGAAGGACACAGAGTTAACCCATGGCTTATATAGACACAGTCGCTCTTGTGTGTGTTAATTAAATTTAAAAAAAGGCATTAAGCAGAATGGGGATATCTGTAAAGATACAAAATAAAGTGCAAGTTATTTATGAATTAATACAGCTGCGTGAGTGGGTGAATACACATAAATACCCTATATGCCACATGTAGAGCTACACTGATAAGCTGATTAATGGCCTAATGAACTATGGCCTCTTCCCAGTGTCAGGACAACCTCCACCGTTGTTTGTAATCTGTAGGACAACAACTCCAAAATATTTGCATGTGATGTTTATTTTCTGTCAATGCAAACTCAACAACGCTAGCTGTTGCTTCACAATAAAAACTCAAAAGTTTTTTTTTTTTTTTTTTTTGTGCAGCAGCTGCAGGACGTGATGATGTAACTGTGGTTAACTGAGACTAGGAGTCCGTCTGGTTCTGCATTTGAAAATTTTCTTCAACACTGTATTTAAAAAAAAAAAAGAAAAAAAAAAGAGTTTTATACAAGTAAACTAGTTTGGTGAAGACCCATTAAAAGCACAGGATCTCATTCTCTTCCTCATATGAGTGAATGGTCCACCTCCTGGTGTTGGCCAAATTCACACTTAGCAAAGTGTTCTCCCCTTCAGCGTGCACCTTGAGGTAATCAGTGTCTGAAAACAACTATATGTTGACTCAATTATGTGTATTATATGTGTGCTAACTCCAAAACAGCAGACTATTGTAAATGGTTTTGCTTTTTTATTTTCAATAAAAGGTTCAGATGAGAGGAAATATTAATGAAGGAGCTATAGAGAGACATGACTCATGATGTCTCATCTGTGCAGCCAGCTGTTTTTCAGGAATAGCTGCATTACTCTAAGTGGTCCAGTTCTTTTTGGTGTGTGGGCAGAGGATTTTTACAGCCACTGTCTGTCAAACCGGGCTCCTGACATCATAATGTAGATCTTGCACCTCTGAAATGTTCACCTCAGAAGTGAAACTGTCTGTGCCTGCGGGCTGCATTTTATTTTCACGTCGGAAGATTTGCAAGGAATGATGAAAAGAAAAAAATCAGTGTTCAAGGTTTCCTCTTCTCTTCAGATGCTGGATTAAAAAAAAATGCATTTAAGTCATACACAAGCTCCTTTTAAGAATGAAGCTCTGCATTGTCCAGGCTACAACAAGGCCTCCTTTTTGTCCCTGGAACTGAGCTAGAAGTGTTGCTGAAGACTAATGGGACACATCTTTGGCCATCTTGATTGAATTTTCCCAGCAGGAAATTGATGTCATGTGGTGCATTGGGGTTTGGCCTGAGGAATGTTCCCAGGATGAAACGTGGAAATATTTCTGCTCGAATGAAAACCCTTTACTCTCAGAGAGCTTTGGTAGCTGGACAACACAGACCTGCATGGCATTGTGAAATTATAATTTAAACACATTTGCAGGGTTTTAAAACAGACTTAATATCATTAGCCTGTCATGCACAAATGCAGATTCACAAATCACAGATTTAGGCTGCTTGACCAGTTTTCATCTCTTTGTCTCATGTCAATTTTACTCATGTTTACTTTGTCTCCTTTTTCTGCAGGCAGAGAATTTAGAAATGTAGCTTTATGGAATGCTGTAACTTACCGATTTCAAAGCTGTTGCAGGCATTTCTTTGCATGTGTATCATCCTTAAATGGATATTTCACGTGGGGTTGTGCGAGGCACTCATACATAGTCAGTGTATTACCTGCAGTAGATTCGGATCAGTGCGGTGGAATCTTTTCCTCCCACAGGAATTCACAAATCTAAACTCAAGAGTGAAATTGAGCCATGAGTGACATCTACTTTCCGGAGAGAACCAGACTCTTTTCTACCTCTGTATTCTCTTTGATATAAAGAAACGCAGAAGAGTTGAATTGTTAAACAAGACATGGTAGTAAACCACAGCTTCAAATAGTTAAATCTGGCTGCCATTTGGAGCAGTCAGTGTGTGATGTTGAGTAATTACTATTTTATATTACTGAATTTTCTGCATGACATAATTGGCAATTTTCTGTTGCATTTGGCAGCACTGTCCTAATGTCACAACAAGCGTTCAAGGAGACCTGTTTTAATGGCTGTAATTCAACAGGTGCACAAGCCATTGCTGTGTATTAACCTTTTTGTTGTATGTGTCTGCAGGTTCATTACATCTTGCAGGAGGTGGTGATGGGAGGCATGGTGCTGGAGACCAACATGAATGAGATCGTAGCTCAGGTGGAGGTGCAGAACCGCATGGAGAAGTCCGAGGTCAGCCAGTTAGCCACATTTAGGGAACAACAAACAACAAAATCATGTGTTTTTGCATTTCTTTTTGCCCATTAATTGTATGTTGTGCAATCGTCTCTCTAGTACTGACTATGTTCCAAAGAACAGGTTTTTAGTGAGAGGAATATGTGTTTTTTGTTTTAACTCAATCAACTTGCAGACTTGCTGTTGTTATGTTGGTTTTGTGACAAGACATCTGAATCATCGCCCACATCTCTGATTTGTTCAGCAATTCAAACAGCTCTGGTGTTGTGCCCATTGACACCTGTTTCCTGTGAATCAAGAAACATCTGACCAACCAGAGCTCATTAGGCACAGCAGCTAAGAACAGCAGTGTCATCTTCCTACATAGCAAGCTACCTGGCAACATTCATGAAAAGAGCAAGAGAAAGATTCATTAATTAATGGGAATTATGCAGCTGTAAGTTAACTTCTGGAAATACATAGCACTCCACTGATTTATTTATTTATTTTTTTAAAAGCATCAAAATCGATGCAGCGGAACCAGACATATCATCCTTGGTGGAGTGCATACCACATGGGCTTAGTCCTACCCACAACAGACATGGATTTGAGTCCGATCTGTGGCCCTTTGCTGCATGTCATCTCCTCTCTCTACCTGACTTTCCTGTCTCTCTCTCACTGTGCTATAACAAAAAAGGTAAAAATGCCCTAGAAAAAATAACTTAAAAAAAAGACAACTTTAAAACTCACTTTACAAAAGTCTAAAAACATCAAGGAAGCAGTTTTACAGAGGGTCATGTGTTGGTCTATTTCTTGGCCGGGCACATGACTTCCTGGAATGTTTCCTCATGCTCCCATGACTGGCAGGCAGAAAAATGCTTTCTAAGAAAACAATCTAATATTATGCTTTAAAAATGGTTGATTTCAGAGTATGCACAATTTGCAGTAAATGGACTGATACTGAAAAATACTGTTTCTACTTTCCTGTATCTGCTTTCATGATTTTACTGCAGTGTGAAAGATGCTATAATCACACAATCACATAAGAATTGCACTCCGAGTGGCTTTTAAAGTTTTTTTTTTCTGTGTTGTTTCGTTTTGTACAGGGAGGTCTATCAGCGGCCCCTGCTCGCGCCGTCTCTGCTGTGAAGAACATGAACCTGCCCGAGATTCCCCGCAACATCAACATCGGAGACATCAATATCAAAGTGCCAAGCCTCTCCCCGTTCTGAGAAGCATCCCAGCTGAGCTCTGCAGGGCTGAAGTGCTACTGGTGTCTCCACTTCTCTGCTGTCGCCCTCCACCTAGCTCTATAGTTGAGACAGAGAAAACTGATTTCATATATGTACTATAGAACCACAGCAGCTTACTCTCCCCCTCATTCCAGTGTTTTCTCATGTACGGGAGATAAGCTGTGGTTTATTTTTGAGTTCTGCTGTATGCAAGTTACAGATTACTCCAGTTGAAGGATTTGCACAATAATGTAAAGTTTGATTCTGTAAAGCATCCAGAGTAATATTAATATCTATAAATGTCCTGCTGTTCTGTCTGTGTTTTGTAGTTCTGTAGTTGATTTCCTGCTCTTTCCAGATGAAAGTGACTGTGTTGACTTAGTGCGTATTTTCCTGCACGGCTCTTCTAAATCTCTGACATTCATCACCGGTTGCTCTGCCTGAGTTTTGAAAGTGTTCCCTCCTGTCTGATGTGAGTTTTTGGACTGAGTACAGGTCACTGTAATATAATCCTTTGGATATCATTACTTACACACATCTTTATCTCCTGTTCCAAGTCTGTGCTCATACAGGCCGGATGGGATTAGATTCCTCCAGTTGGTTCTTGTCACAATTTATTTTCCCCTTCTCTGTAATGTATTGTGTCTGTGACAACTGTGTGATTTGAGAATAATATTGTTCTCCTGGGTGCAGATTGTGCTCAGTATGGAAAATGTAATTCTAGTTTTAATGTGTTGCCATAGGATCTGCCCAACCTATGTTCATAGAAGCAACAGACTAATGTTGACCTTTTTTTTTTTCTATAAAGTGTGTTTGTGTCTTATTGGCTGTATTTGGCGGCCTGATAGACTCAGAGCCAGACGGGCATCTAAGCCATACTCTTCTGGTAGAGTTTAACCATATAGTCCTGTCAAGCGTCTCAAGGAAAAAAATATGTCTCGGTGTCAAAGACATTCCTTGCCAACAAATTAAATAAATGAAAATACAAATCACTGTGGCTGGTGAGTCCTTGTGCACTACCTCATTCACAACAAACTTTTTCTTACGTCTCAGGAAAGTAGGCTGAGTCACCGTGACTGTTGCCAGCATCATGTGAAACTTTCATCTAAACAGAACACTCTGTACCTCTGACGATCCTATGCAGTTCTTTCTGCTCAACCACAAAGAGTTTGCAGTCTAGTTGATATAGCCACATTCCTTCAGCTGCTTCCCCTTCCCACTAATTTTGGGGTATTTTTGGGGGGAAATTGACAGAGTTGTCCCCCCGCCTACCCCCACCACATCCCCAGAAATGCCTGTGGGAGCTCTCACCACCTCCCACCTGACTGAAGCAGACTGTGAGTGTTTCACGTTAGCCAGGATCACTTCAGCTCAACTTGTGCGTCCCATGCAGACAGCTACACAGGGTTTGGTATGTGCTGTTTTTTTTCCTGTTTGACATATTAATGTATCCAACATGCTGCATGCCAGGTCACCCTTTTTGTTGCAAGTTGTGTTTTTCTCTCGTAGTGGAAATACAGGTTCTGCGTTTGTCCATGCATAAGCTTTAAAGTTTTTGGCATCTGTTGCAATGTTGTGCTGCTTCTTTTACACTGAAGAAGGCTTCTCAGAATTGGTCTGCAACAATAGGGTTTATACTTGACTGTGCACGAATGTTGCACGAATGCAGAATAGAGTATAACTACTGTGAAATGCAGTTTCGAGATGCTGTTTATGAAATTCAAAAATCATGAAGATCACTGACCTTTAAAGTTAACATAAAGCAGCCAGCTGTTGCCCCTCCCTCTTCATCTACTTTCAATTCCACTGGTTTAATTTACAATGATACCCTACATATAACAAGGCTAGTAACTGCAAACAGTAAATAGTCCTTGCACAATGCAGTTATGAAATGCTTGTTGTTTTAATCAGGAATTTTTTTATGTACTGAAGGTCCAGTTTGAATTATTGGCTCTGGTTTGGATTTATTGATTGTCTTTCAACATCCAGTGTGGGTTGAACAAGAAGTAAATTGTGAAGCTGCTACAGCTGGCTGAAACTTATCTGTACAATGTGGGGCTGAGACCACACAGCTGATAGGTTACAGGTTCATGTGCAGGTCGAAGGATAATGCAAACGTGTGTGTGTGCGTGCTTCTGTTACCTTTACCTTACCTTCACATTCTTTAGATAAGATTAACTTAATTGATCCTGTTCAGGAAATGTGGTTGAAATATGAAAGGACAAAGTGTGTGAGAAGAGAGAAATGATACAATGAAACAATGTGTGTGAATATGTCATGGTGCTGATGCATTTCTCAAAATGTCCAGTTTTAGTTCTTGTCAGATGTCACCACCAGTCCAAAAGCAGAATACTTCTGCTTCTACTAACTAGGCCTCTTTTGATTTATTTCAATAATTTCTGGTAATTACCAGTAATGCACATTACTTGAAAAGAACTGGAAGGGAGAGTGTGTTGAAATCACATTATGAAACAGGGGTGTTCACAGGTTCCATTGTTGTAATTTTTCACTCCGTGGAAAGATGTAACTTGGAGTCCACAAGATAAACATTCCCTCTCTCTCTGCTGACACCGATTGGGAAAGTCCTAGTTTGGCTTATATTGCTTATTAACTTGGCCGAAATAGACATTTGAAACATTATTTCTTATTAACCCCTACATATCTATTTCACAAGCTGATTGTGCTTCACTCTAGTCTGTTTATATTAAGATTTAATTTTGTATATAACAAATATACAAATATACATACTGTATATAAGATCAGTACATCATCAGTCACACGTCATGACAAACCTTTATTAGTTATTTTAAATTAAAAGACAGACATTTTTTGACATTTTTATCAGATTTTAACAGACAGATGGTGTATGTATTATATTTCTGTCAGGGTGCATCAAGTTAGTCTGTTTTAGTTAGGTTTTGTGTCACTTCCTGTTTTATTCTGACAGTCTCTGTCTTGTCTGGTGTCATTCCCCATGTCCTGTCAAGTTTCCCACCTGTGTTATTGCTGTTCCCTGCCCTAATGTCTTGCGCCTGTCTCATTGTCGCTCCCTCTCCTAGTGTATATAAGGTGTGTTTCCCTTCCCTTCTGTGCTAGATCGTCTTTACTCCCTTGTGAGCATTCCAGCATTTTCTCGTGTGGCCCCTCACATTTGTGTGATTTTGCCTGTTTTTGTCCAGTGAGTTTTGCCCATTTTGCCTGACAATTTTGATTCTTTTGCCTGACTCTGATTGACCACCCATGTACTGAACTATTTTTGTATTAAAGACTTTGAACCATTTCTCGTGTCTGGTTCTGTATTGGGAGCCATTTAGTCCGTGAGCCTGACAGTACGATCTGGCCATGACATGGACTCCACAGACCCAGATCCTGTTCGTGTAGTGCTCCAGGCGCAGGGACAGAGAATCCACTACCAGGAGGAAGAGATCGGTTTACTCCGAAGAAGAAATGAAGGAAGCATCAAAGCGGCATGAGACAGCGTGTTCAGAACTTGCTGCTCAAATGAACTTCCTCATTGATCGTATTCAAAGTATGGCTGTCTTGTCTGCTGCCACTGAGGGTGCTGCAGCTCCGTCAGTTACTCTGGACGCGGCTCTGTCAACTTCCGTTATGACAATGTCACACATCCGGTTAGCCAGCTCTGAAAGATTCTCAGGTGAGTCAGGTGATTGCTGACCGTTCTTGTCACAATGTGAACTACATTTCAAGTTTCAAGTGTCGTCATTCCCCTCTGATCGAGCTAAGATAGCTTACATCATTTCCTATCTGTCTGGTCGCGCCAAGGCTTGGGCTACAGCTGAGTGGGATCGGACATCGGCCATATGTAATTCCCTGCCCCTGTTTGTGAAGACTTTCACACAGATTTTTCAAACTGACACCTGGTCGTGAAGCAAGTTTTGCACACTAGTGGCACATAGTGGGTGGAATCAGCTTTCTGAGACTTTGAAAGATCAATTATTTACACTGGACCTTCCCCCTGAGTTGGATACCCTGATTGCATTAGCTTCAAAGATTGATAAGAGACTGAGACTGAGTCTCACTCTCGCAGTCACCCAGCCCTAGTGGACTCCAGTGCTGATGCTGATTTCATGGACTATGCTCTAGCAACTGAATTGAAGCTTCCTAACTTGCCCCTCACTCAGCCATTGACTCCCACTGCAAGTGACAGGCGCCTCCTATGTAAGGTAACCCATCACACCACCCCAGTTACCTTAACCTTCCCAGATTCTCACATGGAACAGATCAGTTCACCATGCTACTCAACATCCGCTCAGCCTGGGGTATCCATGGCTCATCAAACACAATCTTCACATTGACTGGTTTACAGGCAAGATTTTGTCCTGGGGAGTGGACTGTCAGCACAAGTTCCTCAAGAAACCTTTAGAGCCTGCCTCACCAGGATCCCCTAGTGCCATGAGCACTACTAAGGACTCCCAGTATTCTGACCTTTCGTCTGTTCTGGGGTTCTGTCTAGAGTCTAATGAGGTCTTCAACAAGGCTTAGGCAATCTCTCTCCCTCCTCATTGCCCTTATGACTGTGCCACTGACCTGGGGATGAGGATGGACCCAGAAAAAGGTCCAGGCAGCAAAGGACTGGCCCACTCCCTCCCCTTGGAATGATGTACAACTATTCTTGGGTTATGCTAACATTTACCAAAAGTTTATTATGAATTTCAGCACTATAGCTGCTCCTTTGCATGCCCTAAGCTCTTCTAAGTAGCAGTTCTCCTTGGCCTCCCATGCCAATGCCGTGTTCCAGCGGTTGAAAGACTGTATTACCTCTGCTCCAGTGTTATCACTACCAAACACCTCTCGCCAGTTTGTGGTTGAAGTGGACATCTCTGCTCTGGGGATTCGAGGTTGTGTCTCAGAGGACAGTGAAAGACAATAAATTGCATCCTTCTGCCTTCTTATCTAAGAAGTTGTCTCCAACAGAGCAAATCTATGATGTGGGGGACCGGGAGCTGCTAGCCATTAAGGTGGCATTGGAGGAGTGGAGACACTGGTTGGAGGGAGCAGAACAACCTTTCCTGGTCTGGACGAATCATAAGAACTTTGAGTATCTCAAGACCACCAAATTTTTGAATCCTTGGCAGGCCAGGTGGGCTGTTTGTCTTATTGTCCTGGCTCCAAGAATCTAAAACCAGACACCCTTTTGAGACTGTTTTCTGCAGATACAGAAACTAAATCTAGTTCGCCCTTCCTGTCCAGCCCCTGTCTCTGGGAAGCCATCACGTGAGATGTGGAGAGCAAAGAGAGAGAGGCAATTCAAGTACCACAGGGAGTACCACATCACAGACTGTTTGTGCCCCCTGAGCTCAGCGGACAAGCAATAACCTGGGCTCATGCTTTTCTCGTCTCTCGTCACCCCGGAATTTGCAGAACCCTTTTTAGGATTAAGGAGAGGTTTTGGTGGTCTTCGACAAGGAAGGATGTCACCGAGTACATTGCTGCCTGCACGGCTTGCTCCCAGAACAAGACCTTCTGTGCTCCTAGTTCCAGTCTCCCGCTCCTCTTGTGCCTCTGTACCCCTGGTCCGACATCTCACTAGACTTTGTCACTGGACTGCCTTTGTCTGAAGGTAACACCACTGTTCTTACAGTGGTAGACAGATTTTCTAAAATGGTACGATTTATTCCATTGTCTAAGCTTCCCTTCGTCAAAGAAATGGCAGAGGTTCTGTTGACTCACTCAAAGATGTCGAGTTCACGACTTTCCTAGGAATGTGTTGTCCGGGCCACAGTTCATGGTGAAATTCTGGAAAGCTTTCTCTCAGCTTCTGGGAGCCATTCTAACATCGGGCCATCACCCTCAAACTAATGGACATTTGAAGTGTTTAAACCAGGACCTCAAGACTGGACTGCGCTGTCTGACCTCCCAAAACCCCTCTTCATGGAGTAAGATGCTAAGTTGAGAGTATGCACACAGTACCTTACCGAGTATTTCTACTGGCATGTCACCCTTCCAGTGTGTCTTCAGATATCAGCCACCTCTATTTCCGGCCTTGGAGCTGTGTCTCATTCTCTCCCTTTACAAGTATATATAAGGTGTGTTTTCCTTCCCTTCTGTGCCAGATCGTCTCTACCCTGTGTGAGCGCTTCAGCATTCTCTTGTGTAGTCCCTCGTTTGTATGATTTTGCCTCTTTTTGACCAGTGAGTTTTGTCTGACGATTTTGATACTTTTGCGTGTATCATGATTCTGATTGACCACCCGTGTACTGAACTATTTTTGTATTAAAGACTTTGAACCTTTTCTCATGTCCGGGTCTGTATTGGGAGCCATTCGGTCTGAGCCTGACAACTGCTCTACAGAGGCAATATGCAGATAAGACTTTTATATATTTGAACAAAATTTTGTCAAGAACTTACACAGATATACACATCTGTTTTACAGTATAAAAAAGTGTAAAGCCACAGAAATGTAATTTCTTTGCAAACTAATTTTAAATTTGAAGTAACTACACCTGCTAAAAAACAGAACTAAAATTGAAGCCAAAATGCAGTAATTGCACTCTGGCTTGGAAATCTGTGGACTATAACACTCCAGTGCACTTTACTGAACTCTCTGACAGACATGAAATTAAACTAGACAACTAAATTAAGAGGGCTGAATCGAGGAAATGCTAGCTTGTGACTTGTGTGAGATGGTGGAGGTTAGCATTTGCTAAAAGTAAAGCTAAAGTTACATGATGAAAAAACTAAATGAGGCGGCTCCATATGGAGAAAAACAATACAAGATACCAGCTAAAGCTAACTCAGTAGCTGCTATCTTAGCTTTTGTCCCACTGAATTTCATGTTATTTGGTGTGGTTAAGATAAATAACATACTTAAAATATTTTATTGTCAATTGGTTATATTAGAAATTGTACTTGAACAGAAAAAAACATTAAGAAACTTCAAATTACTTCTAGCTATTGACAGTAGATCAAAATAAACAATTCTTAAACAATCTACTTAAAATGGACAAAAAAGCTGAAAGAAATTATTTTATTTGTAAGTAGTGCATTTTGTGAGGATTATTCAAAGGCATCTACAATTTTTATATATGTGGTTTCTATGGCCTATGGCTTTGTTGGGTAAAATAATCAGCCTGAAAAACATGAAATTACATAATTACAACTTTTCTACTGGACAGTTTGCTGTCCAGTCTGAAAACAGAAGCACAGATGGCTGACAGCAGATTTTATATTATGGAGAAATCCTAGAGTGGCCATGTCTGTGTGGTCTTGGTCTGCAAAGTTTAATCAAATGCAGATTCATCATTTCCAGATGTTCTGTACCTTAGGGTGTTGAGTTCACATGGCAATGACTGTGGAAGATCATTTTTTGTGTGTGTGCCTGAAGGACTTATTGATCTTTTCAGCCTGGGTGTCTTTCTTCAAATGAATAAATCAATAAAATGGTAGATAAACCTGATAAAGTATGCCTTATCACTGCGGCACCTTGTTTGGTCTATTAAACAAGTTGATTTTGTTGTTTGATGGTCTCATTTATTACTACCTGACCTAAGTAACAGGCTTAAATACCAACTCTGGTTATAGTAGGAATTCAAATTTCCTTTTTTTGCATTAAAATGTGTACTTTTACCACAAGGAGAATTATGTGTATGCAAGGGAAGTGTATAAAACAAAAGATTGTAGTAGACTAGGTGTAGCTGATGTAGTAGAAGTTAATAACAGAAGTTAGCTAAGGTAAACTTTTTTCCAAATTTAAGTTCCTATGAAGGAAACCTTATCTTTAGCAGTGGCCTACTATAAAAGTGTTGTTGTTGCACCATGTGTTGTAGATAAATCATCAACTTAATAATTCTTTGTGGGTGTGTGGAGGAAAGATAAACTTGTATGTGCTGTTCACTAAGGCAAAGGCATAGGTCTACTTTATAAAGGATTTGTAAGTTGTAGCTAAAGGCTTTAATAATTTATCAATAATTTGTCATTTATTGCAGAAATTGCATTTAGTCATGCTTCATTGATGAATTGGGCATTAATAGAGTAAAGCTTAACTGACAGATAAAAATAAATAAAATCAATTTAGTTGCCGTGTATCATCCTCCAGTTCATGCTGTTGTTCTAGGTAGCTCCTCATGTCATCATAAAGACTCATTACCTTCTGACCAGAATCTATTTATTAGCAACTTATCAGCATTTACAACTCCAGTCTTAATGGTTCATTAGAAATTCAAAAAGTTAGAACACTGCATTAATCACTTATCAACATTTATCATTGCAGAAATAATAGTTTATTAGATAGGAAGACATTACTAAACGGTCACATCAGGGCTGAAATTGTAAATGCTACTAAATCATTAATAGGAACGTGAGTTGGGGACATTCAATCTAACTCACAATCTTCATCAGTAGATAAAGTCTGCTTACTTATCATGGAGATGTCTCAGCTGTCATTACATGAAGAGTATGTAACTTCATTCAAAGTCCAAAGTCAAGAGTTTTTCCTCTACAGAATCAATATAAGTTTCAACTTACGGTATAAACCCCTATTTAAAGAACACCCTATTAATAAGTGGTGTTAAAAACTCAAAAGATACTGTTGTTAATATACAGTATAAACAATATTTTCTGTACACTAAGAGAATATTCTTATAAAACAATTTTTATAAAGGATTTCATAAAAGTTATTACTGATATGAATGTTTTTTATAAACCACTAACCAAGACAAACAGGGCGTGCTTAAGAACAGCTGACTACCGAATCTGCTGACATAACTGTGGTCACTGACCACTCTGGGTGTTGTCTCATATAATCCCACATGTACCGTAAAATGATTAGATGCTGATTTTTTAGAGGAAACATCTGTACATGTCATCAGATAGGAAGGAAAGGAAGGATGTTCCAGTAAAAAATAAACTGGCACAGTCAGGATTTTGTATGACAAATAATGTAAGTAGCTTGGCATGGAATGTCATGAGTTATCTTCTCTCATGTATGTGAGTTTTCAGAGTACCATGATACGAAGGCTGATCCCTGTGCAGTTACTGATAATGTGAAGTAATTCTGATACAGAGCAGGAGAAAAAAGTTTTAGCTGAGTTGGGAAGCTTTGTTGGTTAAAACCTTTGACTTATTTGTAAGTTTGAGCTAATTTCAGTGCACAGTTTCTTTCATTAAGAATAAATTCCAGGCCTCCTGCTAAACTAAATGCAGGCTCTACAGATTATCCATTACAGGATTAATAGACATTATTTTATTGACTTCATGTTGCAATCCTACATCACGATCAGAATTTATGGCCTTTCGTGTATGAGTTGGGACTACTTGAAATGTGAGACTGCTGGGAATATTAAAGAGTGTCAGGGCAAGATGTTTGTTGTAAATGTTGCTTATCGATCACAACTGCTTATTGAAGACAACTAACCAGAGTCTCTTTTATAATGCTGCACTTTGAACTTCTATATTATCAAATTGTTCTTGCCTGTGCAGAAGTGATAGCTAACGTGTTCTGGTAACCACCCCCGTGGTTATAATTAAACATAAATGACACATAGAGAGAAAAGTTGAAGACGCAGTGAAATGGAAAATACTGCTACTACTGTAAGACACATAGGACATACAGACAAGACTGAGAGACCAATAATAAAAAAGGAGAGGAAAACAGTAATACCATAATAATAACCTCAAGCAAGCGAAGAGAAAAAAGCAATAACAGAAGGGACTTGAGCTTTTGACTTCATATTGTAGATACATCTTTGATCCTTCAATATGCTGCAGGTACTGCAGTGAAAAAACAAAGAGAAAAAAACATTGATCCTGTTTTGTACTAAAAAGCTGCAGTTTTAATAAGAAGAATTTACCTTGTCCAGTGAGACATTACTCATTACAAACAACAGTAGTTCTTTGTATTCAGTTACTAACACAGGTATATCATTAATGCTGGTAAAACAAAAACTCATTGCGTTGAGAAATACATGTATTCACTTTTTTGCTGAGATTTAATTTGATACCACTATCATGACTGTATGTTACAACCAGCACCTAGTTAGTTTAGCATGTAAGACCTGAGACAGGGGAAAACAGCTGACTCTGTCCAAAGGCAACAAAATCGGCTCAATAACACCTCTAAAGCTGCAGTCACGACAGATAACCACTGGAGGCTCCAAGAGGTGACTAAGCATGACCAAGGAATGTTTTGGTATATATCCCCAGTGAGAGCATGTGGTTAAACAAATCAGACATAACATGTTAATAAGTGAACTTTTCTTCTGGCGGGTGGATTTTGTGGTCTATGGACAGAGCCAAGCAAGCTGTTTCCAGTCTTTGTGCTATGCTAGGCTAACTGGCTGAAATTGGCAAAACATACTCTTGATCAGTTCAATACATTCAGTGGGTTTAGCAGTTACTTGCATGGAACAACCATGAAAATGGTCATATTCATTTAAGTGACACAGTGAAAAAATATGAATAAAAATCTTTATTATCATCTTTATAGCTTCTTTTACTTTTTTGTCAGTGTGCAGGCAGTTTTTCTATGAATGGGACTGTTTATTTTTGGCCACACACATGACACAACAACACAGACTGTGCACTATTACTGGACATTTATGAATCTGATTGCTGCTGAGTTGCAGACTAAATGACTAACTTATTCCAATGTTTCCATTTCTCCTTAGGTGTTATGAAAATGTCTTTTTTGCCATGTTAATCGCTCAACCATTAAGTGAGGAGGGAAGACACTTGTTGTCCTGGACAATCACAGACTGAGACCCCTTAGAGTCCTGCTCTGACCTGAAACGGACATGGGGAAAGTCTACTATGTCAGTAAAAATGTGGGCCTTGGGTTGCTTGTACTGGCGGCCACCGCTTTGGCCACGATAATAGCTTTGTCCATTGCCTACGACAAGGAAAGGGCCAAGAATCAAGGCAGGCCTGGAGATGGAGGGGCAGACAGCACCAGCATGCCTGAACCTGCTACTACCGCCTCCACTCTAAAGGAGCCCTGGGATCGCTACAGACTTCCAGACTCCCTTGTTCCTGTCTCTTACAACGTGACCCTGTGGCCCCGGCTGGAGCCCAACACAGACGGCCTGTACATCTTCACTGGACATTCAGCGGTGGTCTTCAGGTGTGTGAAGGAAACAGACCTCATCATCATCCACTCCAATAAGCTGAACCTCACCAACTTCCATGGGCACCATGCCAAACTGAGTGGCCGGGGTGAAGTCGGTGCACCTGCTATACAAAGGTCTTGGCTTGTGGTGAAGACGGAGTATCTGGTCCTTCAGCTGCAGCGCAGACTAGCCGTGGGAGCGACCTATGTACTATACACTGAATTTCAGGGAGAGCTGGCGGACGACCTGGAGGGCTTCTACAGGAGTGAATATGTTGAGGATGGTGTGAAGAAGTAAGCAATGATATATCATAGCATAACGGTGTAGCATCCAACTGCTCTTGACAGTGAGAGTTAATTTTCATGGTTCCAGTGTTACTCTTTGTGAGACTTTCACTTGGTTGGTCTATTTTGTGTTAATGTTTAATTGCAACATTTTGCAGAGTTGTTGCTACCTCGCAGATGCAAGCAACGTTTGCCAGGAAGACCTTTCCATGCTTTGACGAGCCGGCCATGAAAGCTGTCTTCAATGTCATCATCATCCACAAACAAGGCACTGTGGCTCTGTCCAACGGCAGGGAAAAAGGTCTGTTTTAAAGATACAAAAAATAAGTCTTTTCAGAATTTTTGTTGCATCTTAATTCACTGGGGAAACTTGGTCTGCACAAAAGCAAATTATAAAATCGAATAAGAACGACAAAACAAACTGAAATTGAAATTTTATGTTAGTTAACTTCAACACAAAGACCATCAGTGGTAACAGAAAAGTGATTTTCAGAGCAAGTGTCAGGTACAAACATTCAAACAAACATGTTCATTAATGTGTGATGAGATAGTTTCATTGTAAATAATTAATAACTTGGACGACATGTTACAAGAAAATCAGCAACTAGATACTGTTAATGCTAACAGAGTGTAAAGGTCTGTCTCTTTCTCTCCCCGCACAGATGTTGCAGACTCTGTTATTGATGGGATTCCTGTCAAAGTTACTACATTTGAGCCCACAGAGAGAATGTCCACATATCTGTTGGCATTTATTGTCAGTGACTTTGTTAGCATTCAGTCAAACCAAAACCACAACTTGTTGGTAAGAAGTTTTGTGTTTGTATTATCATAGTTGTTATGCAAGGGTCAGAGGTCACGTCATCCATAGTACTGTATATTCCTGTGATGGTAGAATTAAATTAACAGCCTTAAGACAAAAGATGTTCTGTTTTTTGATCCATTGTTGTGGATTACAAGCTTTCAAAATCTTTGCAGATTCGAATCTGGGCTCGAAAAAAAGCCATTGATGAAAGACAGGGTGACTACGCGCTCAACGTTACTGGGCCGATCCTTCAGTTCTATGAACATTACTACAATGCAACATATCCACTCTCCAAGTCAGGTAGAACAACTCAGCATCAGCATGCTGTGGCAAACATTTTTCTGTAAAGACAGAAATATCAGTCATTTCCTTTATGTTACATAACCCAACATTCAGCCTTTGCACTTAGAAAGAAAACATTGCATATAACACATGTCTAAAGCCATGCTAGTAGCTCTGTGGGGCTGTACTTACACAGGGTAAATGCTACTAGGTAAATGCTAACATTTGCCATGCTAGTGTACAATGATATTGCTGTTATGCTTATGTTTAGTAGGGATAATGTTTTATATTCATTGTCTCTGTCTAGCATGTTGGCAGCTAACAGCTGAGGCCTGTAACACACCACAAAAATCTGGCTCCCACACAGTGCAGCCTCAGTGGGCCCCCTTCCATTTTAATTCCATTAAATTGTCATGTCTGTACAAGTGACTGAATCGACAAGTAAACATATTTTAGTGACTATTACAGTAGTCAGTCATAAAGTGTTACATATAACACGTTTTCATCCCTTTTGTCAACATATTTTAATTACTGTGTGAAGCTTTTACTTTTGTCTTACGACAATATAGGACATTATTTGTGCCACAGTTAGGTATATATTAAACCTTTGGCATAACACCCCATAAGTCGGGCCTATAAATTAGCCCATATACTGAGAGAGGTTACTGTATTTCAATTCAGTGTTTCATGATAAGACAACTGTGTAAGATTCCATGGAATAATGTTTTGTTTGCAGAATTAAGGAGAGTTGGTTTCTAACAACTTCTCGCCTGGTCTCTTGCAACAGAAACCCTAAGGCACAATCCATAAAAATAAGTTGCTTCCGTCTTAGTATACCAAAAACACAGAAATAGAAGATGCTATCACTCTTAAACTGCAACCCTAACCCTAATATTGTTTTAAAAACATGAAAAAGTTTGTCAAAATGTTTTATTAGGCAGCAGTAAATGTATACTTATAATGCCAATTATGTAAAATGTATGTAAAATTATGTAAAATTGCAGATAAAACCAGACTACACATGGTGCAGCAATTTTCCACTATTTCCCTCACTGCCACAACACTGGCTGATACTGATGGAAATGTCATTAATTTTGCAATTATTTGGTCATAAATCAAAGTATGGTGCAAATTTTAAAAAAATAACCTGATGATGGTACCGCATAGAAAAATAAAGTAAAAAAGTTCAAGTTAAATTGCAAAAGGTTTCACGATCCGTATCCAAGAATGTATCAAATTTCAGGACAATCCAATCTTGTCGATATTTCACTCAACCACAAATGTCAACCTCATGGCAGCACTAGAAGAAAAATCAGTGGATCATCCAAAGTCATGAGGATTCAACCTCTGGGGACCGTATACAAAATTACGTTCCAAACCATCCAGTAGTTGTTGAGATATTTCAGTCTGAACCAAAGTGATGGGCAGACTGACCAACCGACCGATATATTGCACATTTCCAAGGGTATTTCTACCTCAAATTCCTTCTTTTTTCACCAACTATCTCTGTCAAGTACACCTTATAAATGTTGGACAACCAAACAAATAAAATTTTATTGAATCAAGCACCAGTTGGTGGATCTCATGTATGCTAAAAACACCAGTCTATCTGATATACAAAGTAACATTAAAATGACTTTGGTGAGACATCCTTTTCATTCAAAAGGAAATGGATGATATTGGGGTGGTTTACAGGTTTGGTAGTTTCCATTTCTAACACACGCAATTTGTCTTTGAATTTCTGATGTCCTTGTTCTGTCTAGATCAGATAGCTCTGCCCGACTTCAATGCCGGGGCGATGGAGAACTGGGGTCTGGTCACATACAGGGAGACGGCCCTACTCTTCGACCCCATTGAATCTTCCACTGGAAACAAAGAGAGAGTTATATCGGTCATCTCTCATGAACTTGCACACATGGTAGGCCATAATATTTCTGCCAAGTGGCTCTCATCACTTTTCAGTTTTAGTAATCAGGAGAAAAAGAAAAAAAAAACATTATAGTAAGCTGAAACAGAGGTTGCAAACTCAATCTCAGCTAGGTCACAGGAATGCTATACATAATTAAGCCAGATTGCTAAACCTCCCTTTGCAAACAAAAAGATGACAGATCATCACCAGGGGACAAATTAACCCTGCTCACTTTTTAGATGTTTTTAAAGTCTGCCATAAAAATGGATGTGAAATTCAGTGGTTGGGAATTTTCTTAAGCCCCTGCTGATTCAGTTTTTATATTTCTTGGAGTGGAACTTTAGTGGTAATGTTGGCCAAAAGCTTCATGCACTGTCAGAAACGGTGTTTGTGAAAAGACTAGTTTCCTGAGAATGTGCTGAGACAAACTGAAGGTTTACTGGTTACTGTGACAGAGCTCTTGATCGCTTTATTCTATAAATATATATATTTTTAGTGGTTTGGCAACCTGGTGACTCTGCAATGGTGGAATGATCTGTGGTTGAACGAGGGCTTTGCGTCATACGTGGAATACCTGGGAGCTGACTATGCTGAGCCCACCTGGAACATGGTAAGAGCTGTACTTGTCCCCTCAACAACGAGGAGCCTTGTGACCTCTTTGTAAGAGATGTGCAGTTGCATTTCACAGATCCACAACCTCTCACAGACATGGTTTGGTTAAAAAAAAAAAAAAAAAAAGCCCCTGCTAACTCACCTCTCTGCTTGGCTGCAGAAAGACCAAATCATCCTGTATGACGTGCACAAGGTGTTTGCTGTGGACGCCCTGGCCTCCTCTCACCCGCTGTCCCGCCGAGAGGAGGAGGTCAATGAGCCTGCCCAGATAAGCGAGATGTTTAACACCATCTCCTACAGCAAGGTATGCTCCTCTGACATTAGTTTATTCAGTATCTGATGCCGACATAAAGGATTTATTACAATTTTGCCTTTTCACATTTGTCTAAAACCAATTACAGGTAATATAGCCAAATTTATTTTTAGGAGTAAGGAACTCATGTGATTGAAATTCTCAAAATTAAAAAAAACAACATTTATCACAGACATCAAAGCCATATTCTGCCATAAGGGCAACATCTTGTTTTAATATTTGCTTTTGGGTTGAATGCAAAATACTTTGCTGTTATGAGAAATTCAAACCCACTAAATTCTGGTGGTTTCTGTTTTTGTTGTTTCCAGGGAGCGGCCGTGCTCAGGATGCTGTCAGAGTTTCTCACTGAGCCCGTGTTTGCCAGAGGACTCAGTGTGAGTATTAACCCTGTTATAGGGCCTCATAACTTAGTTACCACTGCCACTGTGTGCGTGTGTTTGTGGCACTGGTGGTGACAGAGTTTGTGGGTATGACAAATCAAAGTAAATCTTTTTGTTACTATGTTTGGTGTGTGAGTAACCCTCACAGTTACTCAAGATGATTTCCTTTAAATTCAAGATACCTCATTTCCTGTGTGAATAACTGACTGTCTGTGCCTGACTGCTCTGTCTCCGCAGTCTTACCTAAACAAATTTGCCTTCAGTAACACAGTGTATACAGACCTGTGGGATCATCTCCAACAGGTCAGTTCTGCTAAAAAAAACAAAAAAACAACAGATGTGTTGTCCATGGGTGTGAGTATTTCCTCTAAATTCTTGCTGCCCTTTGTTTGTTTTCAGGCTGTTGAAAACACACCAGGTATTCATATACCACACACTGTCCATGACATCATGAACCGCTGGACTCTCCAGATGGGCTTTCCAGTGGTCACTATTGACACCAGGACAGGAAGTATCACTCAGAAACACTTCCTGTTGGATCCAGACTCTGTAGTGGAGAGGCCCTCTCAGTTCAAGTAGGAATCAGTTTTACCTTATCCTGTAAGTTCATACAGATGAAAATGAACTAGTTCATGTTCATAGTTCATTTTTTAAAATTTTGACCTAAGTTCAGTTTCAAAAATGAACTAGTTCACGTTCATTTGTTCTGTTTTTTTAAATAAATGAAGTCCGATACTCTTTTTCCACCTCCTTCTACCCATCCATCACCAGCCCCAAATCATTGCCACTCCCAAACTAAATTAATTATTTTATACCACTGAAAAATCACAGACATTAGTTACATTTAAACTCTGTATATAAATATAATCCGTCTTAGTCACTTGTCTGTTCATAAAACTGCTTCAAGTGCTCAGACAAACTGGCTTCAGTAGTACTAGATGTATCTGTACCGTCTCTACCGCTAGCACCAGTCTAGCTGGGCCGTATCTATGGAGACGTCATACGGCGTGCAGTAAACTGTTGTAGAATGTGAGCTAAAACTGTTGTAAAACGAACGGCGCTCACGTTCATGTTCATCATTTGTAAACCGATTCGTCAGTTCAGTGTTCACTTAAAATAATATATATATTCAATGAACGCCGTTCATTGAACGCGTTCATGCACAACACTGACCTTGGATTCATAATATTGTGAATACTTTAGGTCTCAATGTTTGTTAATGAGACTACACTTGGCAAAAGCAGAGCCCTTAGTCTTATTAACAAACATTTGTTGAGACCTACAGTATTTATGATACTATGATCCACCCGGTGCAAAGCGGCCCTCAGGAAGTCAAGCATTTTTTGTGGTATATTGTGTGTTACACAAGATGAAACACACAAATGAGGCCCTGCAGAGAAGCGTTCTTTCTTACTACCTGGTCAATCCACCACAGTGTTTCCCATCCATCACCTAGACTAAATTTATCCCACCACAGATGCATAATGAACTTAAAATGTATTAACACTTCTCATAATATAACATAAAAGATGGCTATAATTGAGATTTGTGCTGTTGTTTCTTTGTAGAGCTATGTGCAGCTCATTGATTCGCTCAGCCCTTCCTTTCCCCTCAGGATACACAGAGCTGTTGTGTGCGTGTGTCAGGACTGGGATCACTGGCCAGTCACAATATGTAATCAGCTCGCACAAATAGACTGTAGAGAATCTGTGTGAAACACTGCGCCATTATAACAGCAATGCGCCAAGGTGCAAGCATGCCTGGCTTTTAGAGCAAATGGGAGGTGGTACTCTGATTGGTTTATTGCATGTTACGCACAAAACACTTCCATGAATAATTCAGAGTAGAACCCTTTTGAACATCGCTAACTGGTGAAGTGACCGTTTTTTTTGCCATTAAAATAGCAAAAGTAGATATGAACATTTGCACCATGCTCTTAAGACCATGCACTTTGGACTGATGAAATAGAGTCCTAAGAGTTTACAGCCATGCTAGCAGCTTTATAAGGCTGTACTTTGGCACAGCAGTGCTTCGAGAAAAATGTAAGTGTGTGTGTGCTAACATGCGCAAAAGGACAATGTTAGAACGTTGATATTAAACTGATGTAATGTTTCACATGTTCACCATTTTAATTTAGCATGTTAGCATGTCAATGTCAGATGATCACCAAAATCATAAGGATCCATCTTCTGGGGACGATTAATGTCTACTCATGGTAATCCATTAAATAGTCAAACAGAAAGACCAACCAATAGACTAACATTGCCATCCCTGTTGCCATGATGCTAGCATGACTAAAAAGCAACCTTTTTCCACTTTTCTCACTGTCTCACTGTCTTTGTCTATTTCTGTTCAGTTACATATGGTTTGTCCCTATTACATGGATGAAGACAGGTGTGGAGCAGCAACAGTACTGGCTCCTTCAGAAGACAGGTACAATCAGAGTTACACCCTCTGCTCTTCTACATTCAACCTGTAATGTAAAACGTCCTACCAAGTTGATGGACTCAATCACTGGTCATAGTGTTAACTGAATATTTTGAAGCTTTGACTTCTCTTTCTTTTATATTTTTGACTAGATACCAACAGTAAGATGCAGGTGTCGGGACAGGACTGGGTGCTGGCCAACACCAATGTATCTGGATACTTCAGGGTGAACTATGATCCTGACAACTGGAACCGTCTGCTCTCCTTGCTCAACACCAACCATCAGGTGAGTGGCATGTTCTCACACCTGTCAAATGTTTTTGATACCATGCAGCGACAGTTTTGTTTGTGCTTTATATCCACTTTTAGATAAAGACAGAAAATGGTAAGATGTACAATATGCATTTTGATGGAGGTTGCAGACTTGCCCACTTTATTCTGTACTTCAAGTTCAGGTTAAGTTTATTTGGCCAAACAAGTGAAAGGTTGATTTGGTGCATTGTTACAGCGCAGAATGGATAACTGTAAGGCCTGTTGGAGGGCAAGGATTTTATTTACTTAAGTAATTCATTTTTTGGACTATTTCCTGTTCTGCACATTTATAGTTTGAGTTTGCATTTTCATTTGGTCTTAAACCATAAGCCCAGGATCCAATAAATGTGTTTGAAACCACAGACACAATGACTTTATGAGGAAAGAATAAAAAAGGTTATCAAGGCTTTTGGCAGACGTCGCATGTGTTCTGTTTGCTTCACCTCATGATTGCCTATATATGTCAATTTGAACATGCAATTTTTTGTGTGTGACATTTCTTTCAGGCTTTACCAATCATCAACAGAGCACAGATCATAGACGACGCCTTCAACCTGGCAAGGTACAGAAACATAAGTATTTAAACACTTCAGACATTGTGTGTCTGCAATGCATGTGAATGATTTGTTTCCTTGGTGCAGAGCCAAAATAATCAGTACAACATTAGCCCTGACAACTACCAAATACCTGTCCAAGGAGAGAGAATACATCCCCTGGGAGTCAGCTCTGAGAAACCTCAACTACTACACCCTCATGTTTGACCGCACTGAGGTCTATGGAGCTTTACAAGTTAGTACTGCCTCACTATCAATAGTAATACTAATAGTTATCCTGATACTAATAGGAGAAGTGTGTAAACCACTGGATATAAAAGCTACTGTTGATGTATTTTTAGACATACCTCAAGAGACAAGTACAGCCACTTTTTGAGTACTTCAAGACAATTACAGCCAACTGGACCAAAGTACCAGCAGGACACACTGACCAGTAAGAATTCTTATAACAGCAGATACCGTTTTAAAACAAACGTGTCGGGTATTGTTGTTCAATATTGCAGTTTTTCAGTTTTCTCAAATATCTTAATTTTCAGGTATAATCAGGTCAATGCTATAGGGATAGCCTGCCGTATGGGTGTTGGGGGCTGCAGGGAGTTGACCAAAAGCTGGTACAAACAGTGGATGGAAAATCCAAGTCACAACCCGTGAGTACAGAGCAGTCTAAGTCAGTTCTTTCTAGTTTTAACATTTCATAATCGCACAAATTTCACTGCTGGACTGTTTCTGCCTCAATCAGCCAGTGAAAAAACTGCAAATAATGCACAAACCAACTCTGTGAGAGCTGTGAACCTGTTTGTTCAGAATTTTGTATTCATTTTCTGATGTACTTTATCTTTATCTTGATGTTGACCAGGATCCATTCCAACTTGAAAAGCACAGTTTACTGTATTGCCATAGCTTTTGGTGGAGTGGAGGAGTGGGACTTTGCCTGGACAATGTTCAAGAACGCCACTCTGGCCTCTGAGGCTTCCAGGCTCAGGTCAGCCATGGCCTGCACCAAAACACCGTGGCTTTTGAACAGGTGCGTGCAGGGTTCAAATATGTGGAATAGCCTCAATCATGGAATTTTGTGGATGAGACACTTATCTATATGTGTACCTTTCCAATGTACAACAATGAACAATTATAAAGTGGATAATTTTTTTTAATCTATCCTCTAGACCCCTAGTTTCAGTTGGTTGTATCCTGGACTTTTAATGTGTCCCTGAGAAACACAGTACAACATGCTGAAGGTTCCTACCCACATCATCATCATCATCGAGGAATCTTTAGCATGTTCTACTGAGTTGCAAGGGGGACACAATAAATGTCTGAGAAATAATGCGGCTGTTTGTTCGGTGCTTAATTGAGCCTCCAGGTATGTTTACAATGCACAGACAACAGAGCACCCTCTTCAGCTGTGGCAAACTCACTTGTCGACATAGAACACATCACTACAGGTGCACAGTGCGGAAAAGTTGCCACAGACACCAGATTTAAAAACACTGAACTGCAGAATACAGAGAGATTTATGACACTGATAGGCTGATTCAGCATTGTGTGAAGTTGTTTGGCAACAGCTTGATTTTAACTGACATTCATCTGTATTTAAAAGTCCCGCACTCCATCTTTAAAAAAAAAAACATTGAACGTTCTATTGGCAACATGCTGAAGTGTCGTGCTAAGAGTAGCACAAGAGGAAAAGTCAGAAAATCAATGAGCTAACTCACTAGTGTCAGTTCCAAAACAATATCTACCTAAGGTTTTTTCATTCGAAACCCTGAGTGTATTGATTTGAGCAAAGGTGCGTCTTGTTGCTAATGAATTGAACTTTTCATTTGTAAGAGGGAGAATATGCCATTAGGCTCGTAGAAGCTAATTTTTGCCTTGTCCTAATCATGCTAATTTAACTGCTGGACTGTTTGAGTGTGTTTCAGTGACCAGACTCTTCTGTGCAAACATGAGCAGTAGGTATAGGTAGCAACATACACACCAACTGTGTGTGTGTGTTTGTGTGGCAGCTCAGACTAATCTCAGCAATCTTCAATTATTTATTATAAATATTTTCTACTAGCATGGACCAATCATCACCTATATCCATGCCGCCTAGAGCGAATTTGCATTCATCTGAACACACCTTTAAAGATCAATTAAGTTTACTTTTTAAAATTGTAAGTAACCTGAACATAAAGGTAACAAATGTTTCACCCTTTTTACTTGCTCCAAATATTTGAAATATTGACTGATCTTCAGCTAATTTTTTCTTCATTTATTAAATTTGTGTTTTGGAAATTACTTCTTTGTAAGGAAATGTTTTGGTTGAGCCAGGTATCTGGAGTACACCCTAGACCCGACTATGATCCGCAAGCAAGACGCCACCTCTACCATCCAGTACATCGCATCAAATGTTGTGGGGATGCCCCTGGCCTGGAACTTCGTCCGAGCAAAATGGAGTTACATTTTCCAGCAGTAAGCGCTCACTCCTCAGAGGAGGGTTTGTTGTTAAAACAGTCAGCAAGTTGAAGAAATTAATTAAAAACAGATTATTATTATTTAGTATTTAATATACAGCATTACTGCAGTTTTCAACTGAGTGCTAAAGTAAAAAATAATGAGGATTTCAAGATAGAGATGTGCAGTAATTTCTCCAAGTGCACATACTGCTATTTTTACCGTTTCCTCATCCAGTTTGTGAAGCATTTCTTCAGTCCTGCCCTAGAAGAGGAGTTAGCTAATCATGAAGCAAGAAAGATAATCATGAGGCTTAGACAATGAGGCCTGAAGAAATGTTTCAACTGTTCTTGAGACTTCACACAATTTCCCAGAAAGATGTTCATCATGATCAACAGAATTCGCCATGATCACATGACTACATCTTTAAAGTGAACTTTATGCCTCTTTATGTTTTAGGTATGGAAGAGGATCGTTTTCCTTCTCTAACCTCATCAATGGACTCACGAGGAGATTCTCAACAGAGTTTGAGTTGCAGGAGGTTTGCAGCCCACACAGACACAACCACACTGAAATACACACTCCACTCCCCTGAGGGTGATGGAGGAAAAGAAAGATGGCAAATGCAGATGTTCAGTTTTTGTGTTTGTTTGTGTCTTTCTCTCTCTCTCTCCAGCTGAAGAAATTCAAAGAAGACAACCTTCATGTTGGTTTCGGCTCAGCCACATTGGCCCTGGAGCAAGCCATAGAAAAGACCACAGCCAACATCAAGTGGGTGACAGAGAATAAAGCCAGCGTGCTTAAGTGGTTTACTGAGGAGTCCACATGAGAACATTTTTTGCCTTTTTTTTTTTTTATTGTCAGGGATATGTAATGTGTAACAATCATTATAATTATCAGGAGCAACAAATGACCAGCCTCTTTTCTGACAGTTTCACAACGACAACTGGTTTGACTATACATCACTGGACATCAGCTTCAGTGTAAAGCAACAGACATAGGATGATCAGTGGACCACAGGTTTCACTATGTATATCTGTGATGTAGTGTGAAATAAATAAGTTGAACTCTCACCTCTAGCTGTCATTTTACTCAAATAACTTTTATTTTTACTGCCAGAAATTCATTAATTTATGTTTCATTTCTATTTTTCCCCATCTACTTCACTTTATAATTTGCTGTTTATTACGATGTATGCAATGCATTTATACCATGAACATGAAACTTCATACTGTATTTTAAAGAGATGGCATTATGAATAAAGTTGGATGTGTGTGGACCACATGTGTGTACCTCTGCAAATGTGTGATGACAGCTTTTCTCTTTGCTTAGCAAACAGCAGAGCAGAACGTCTGTTAAATTCTCATTTCCTGAAGTTTAGTCATTCTCAATCACTGGATGTTTTTTACATTGAGAATCATTTTGCTCTCAAATGGTAGGAGAAAAAGATTTGAGATCTGAGAAAATTACTCAAGTACTTTTCCATATACATAATACAATAGATACAATAATACACTCCTCTGGAACATTAATGGACCTCTTCCAGTTCAGGACAGAGAAGTACGATTAGCACAGAGGAGAAACGTTTCTCATTCAGCCTGTTTGAAACAGATGTTGTGACACTGATGGTTCAAGGCGATAACACGAGCTGACTCAAGGTTTTACTGACCTTTTATTACCTGTATAAAGTTGAAAATAACAATAAGGTGAAAGAGGCCCACCACTGATTTTACCTACTGATTGTACCTCTGGACCTGCTTCAGGTACACTTGCACAGGGCCCAGATTATAATTAAAATGCTTTGATTATATTAGGGAATATCAGTAAAAAATATTACAAAATATTTTTAAAAAGAGGGGATATCACTGATTGGATTACTTAGAGTGTGGTTGGAAAAAGAAGTGAAACAGAGCAAAATGTGGTGATTCCTTATAAGTCTATGTGGACAAAAAGTTGTTATAGTCACCATCATAATGATAGTCATAACATTAAAAATACATACAACAAAGAGAGGGGTAAGAGAGTTTGCAGAAAAGGTCTGAAATCTATTTCCTCATTAATATTTTATTAATAAATTGATAATTGATACACCAAAGCATCACATTTAAATATCCAGTAAGTCTCCCTCTGAAGTAATTTCCTCTGTTGTATGATGTTGGAGCAGTGATTACAACTGGTTTGCAAACATTTGAAAGTGCCAATAGGTCTCTCGAACCAGTGGCCCTGGGGGCTTTTGGAGTTTGTGGCCATTGTATTTTGCATTGTAACATACCTTCATAATTTCAGTGAAAGTCTGGAATCACTTTAACATCATGGCAGGTAACTGTAGTTAAGTGCGTACATAAGAAGGGAGCACAGAACATTTTCAACAAAGTGGAGAGAACATATTTTGTTCGATTATGACGCATGGTTTAAAAGAAATACTGTAAATCTTATTGGAACCTAGTTGTATTTTGATCTTGAGAAATTCCAATATTCAAAAGCTTAACACATGATTAATCCTCAAGATGAGACACAACAGGTTTATGAAAAACAACAGACAATAATAATATATTTTCTGTTTGAGGATTGTGCAATATCCTGGTGTGTCATTTCAATAGACTGACACTGGGTTTTCCTGGGAAGTTACACATTTTTCCTGGCCTGGTATAGGTAGTATTCCCTCATGAATCTGAGCAACAGTTTGTCGACAAACCAACAAACTGTTGCTCAGTTTCAGGAGACATGTTCTGGTGCACAACTTCGTAGGTGGCTGGTTTGGTGAGGTCATGTGTCGCTGCAGGTACCAGTGAAACAATTAAATGTGATCCAGGAAGGCCAGTTTGAGTGATAGAGCCATTAAACTGAAGGTTTTTTAGATATCAAAATACTGAGTTTTATATTTGTATGAGAAAAGAATTTTACATCCACACAGCAACAATCATTTTATCCTCTTTCTCCACAATCAGCAAGCTAAACACTAGAATTAGCAAGTTCAGTATTACCTAGTAATCTACCAGGAATGGGTGCTTGCATGTATTTGATTGTATTTGTCACTTGCAGTGTGTTGCTGGTGTGGCTGATGGAACAAATTGAATCGATATAGCTGTCTAGGGTTAGCTGTTTAAGCAAATAAGGGCAAGACATTTTTTTTTTTGCCTTCAACTTTATTTTCTTCCATTTTACATGCTAACATAAATTGATTATATGATGGGCTTTGAGCTATGCCAAAATGTGAGCAACCACACAGCATTACTGTGCCTGAACGCATCCTGCATAGTCTGAAACAGCACTTCTGATTTTCTGTTTCCACTACGTCGCCTGTGTAGACATAACATCAGTATCTGACTCATTTAGACAACAGTACAACAAAGTTCGCAATAAGTTACTTGACTCAGTGCCTTTGTCCATGAATACATTTGACCACAAAGGGTTGTGGATTTTCTTATAAGAAGAAGTGTCAGACTGTCAGATCCATAATCCTTCACTCAGCTCAGGTGAGTGCTGATACCTCTGTTTAGCTTCTTGTTATTGGGGAAGAGTTGATTGATTGAACAGTCTGTGGATTTATGTAAGTAATGCATTTTAATTTTTTCTTTTTCTGTTTGCAAATCAAAAATCAAATATGAGGATCTCGGGATTTTTTGTTCTTGTTGAGTTTAACAGCCTATGCAGAAAATGTGTGAGGGCCTCAACTGTTTTGGTTAACCAAAGTAAATAATGTTTTTCAAAACAATTGAGAGTAGCTCATTCCATAATGCAATACTTATACAGTATCGGATAGCCAGATCTGTATACACTTGACATTTGAACATTGTAAACACACACACACACACACACACACACACACACACACACACACACAGTTCTACTTTTTTCCCACTACCACACAATTTACAGCAGTGAATAAACAGAGACAACACAGGCCAACTTGTAAAGAGGGCCATTATTCAGAGTCATTCTGCAGGTATAAAGTTCACAGATGAAGCAGAGCTCGTTCTTATCTCAAGGACTTTTTACAACTCATTGTTTTGGACTTTCAGCTGTTTTCCCTGGCCAGAAGATCAACCATTAACTCTGGGCTGAATCTAACAAGGCAGGACATAAATAGGAATCACTTCCCCTCTTCTGTCTTCTTCTTCTCTGGTGGAGACATGGGGAAAGGATTCTACATCAGCAAAGTGGTGGCAGTAACCTGTGTGGTAGTAGCCATCAGCGCCGTGGCCACCATCATAGCCCTGTCTGTGGTTTACAGTCAGGAGAAGTCCAAGAATGAAGTCACAGCTCCATCCACTACCAGCCCAAATACTGCCACCCCCAGTACCCAGCCCCCCTCCACCACACCGTCCACCCCAAAGGAGCCCTGGCAGCGCTACAGACTCCCAGACTCCCTCGCTCCTATCTCCTACAACGTGACCCTGTGGCCTCGGCTGGAGCCCAACGCAAATGACTCGTACATCTTCAGTGGAAAATCCAAAGTGGTCTTCAAATGTGTGAAGGAGACCGACCTCATCCTCATCCACTCCAACAAGCTGAACCTAACCACCTTCAAGGGACACCATGCCACGTTAACGGGCCTGGATGGAGCCACTGCACCTACAGTGAAAATAACCTGGTTGGAGGTTCCCACCCAGTACCTGGTGGTCCAGCTCAAAAGCCCACTGCAGGCCGGCAGCATGTACGAGCTCTTCACTGACTTTGTTGGAGAGCTGGCCGACGACCTGGGCGGATTCTACAGGAGTGAATACATTGAGGACGGTGTAAAAAAGTATGATGTTCTTTTTAATGTTCCTTATTTTTAAATTTCATTTCATTTGTTTGAATTATTTCAGTTGAGTTTCAAGAGTGATGTCACAGTCGGGATCTGACCATGTATGTTGTAAAGCAACAACCTTTACAGGCATCTCAAACCATACATTTAATCTAGACCTTTAACTTTAAAAAAAATATTTCCACAATACTTTGGGAAATGTACTTTTTTGCTGAGAGTTGGATAATAAGATTGATATCACTCTTGTGTCTGTTGGTCAAATATGAATCTATAGCCAGCAGCTGGCTAGTTTAGCTTAGCACAAGGACTGGAAACAGGTGGAAACAGCTAGCTTGGCTCTATCCAAAGGTAAGAAAACCAGCCTACTAGCACCTCTAAAACTAACTCATGAATATGAAATAAAATAGAGAAATGTTTAAAGCTGCTATGTGTAGGATTTGAAATACTCTCACTTTGGTGACTCCTAGTGGTTGTATCACGAAAGACACCGTGGCCAATGAAAATGCATACAGAGTAAACAAACAGCTGGTGATATTTTTAAACCTTTTGTTAAACATAATTTCAGCTAAAACCAAGTTCACACCCATTTTCCACAGTTTGCTGAAATTTATAGTACAACCACAAAATAACCCAGAGAACAGGGATTACATGTGAGTCTGAGAGTGTGTAAGGGTGGAATGTTGCTTTGACGTTTCACGTCTTAATGTGGGCATCTGTTATTGTCAGAGTTGTGGCCACAACGCAAATGCAGCCAACAGATGCGAGGAAAGCCTTCCCCTGCTTCGATGAGCCAGCTATGAAAGCTGTCTTCCACATGACGCTCATTCACCCCCGGGAGACCGTGGCTCTGTCCAATTCCATGAATTATGGTAACTTCTTGTTTCAGTATTTGCTTCTTCATCAATTACACACTTTTGTATGTTGCAACTACAAAAAAAAAATTCTGCCTTATTGTACTATAGGAACACAATGAGCTTGTTGCTCCTCATTTCTTCATTTGTAATAAATCTGCTACTGTCTTTGTCCCCATACAGACCCTGTCAACATCACTATGCATGGCCTGAATTTAACCCAGACAAGATTTGAACCCACAGAGATTATGTCAACCTACTTGCTGGCTTTTGTTGTGTGTGAATTTACCTACATTGCGTCGAAACCAGAAGCAGATGTTTTGGTAATTATTTATTACATCTTACAATCAGAACCACACAGATGGAAATTGGTGGAAATATCTATATTATTTATATCTACAGGTGTTTGAATTATATCTTACAACTTACAACTTTGTTGTATTTGATATTTAATAGTTATTACCACTGTAGCACTGTGAGCTGCTGTGCTGTGACCTCCCTGTAGAGTAGAACAAGAGAAAAGAGGATTTTGTGAACAATGAGCCCTAAGATTAATAATCAGCCTTGAGAACCACACTTTGCCCGAAAACTACTTCACCTACTAATACTGGATTCTTTGCTACTACTGTCTGCTATCTTATATTACTGCTACACAGTACCACTGTTGCACCTACAGCTTGAATAAGGACCAATAG